GGGAATATCACATACACATGTAGTAGGCTATCCTGCTTATTCAATGACCTCAGTATGTTTTGTTCCAGGCCAGCATCTTCTGAAGCTTCACAAAGTGTACTATCTCATTCTTACCTCAGGGTAGTGCTGTGCCTGATTTCTAGGTTGTGTCTCAGATGGTCTGGATGTTGCAGAAAGTTCCTCGGAATGACAGCAACACAGGATTAGATGGGGACCAAGAAGAACAGATTAACTTTATATCCAAATTGCGTTGTAGCTGACTTGTGAGTAGTGGGTGGGATAGTGTAGAGAGGAAGCTTTACTCTGTACCTGACCTGGGATTGCTTGATGGGATAGTGTGGAAGGAGCTTTGCTCTATATTTAACTTATGCTGTTCTGGATTATGAGTGCTGAATGAGTCAGTGCAAAGGAAACTTTACACTGTATCTCACCTGTGCTGCATGTGACCTTGGAGTGCTGGATAGGACGATGAGAGTCCAATATAGACTCTCAGCCTTCACTGTGATTCTCCCAAAATAATTGATTTAGAAAAGAAACCTGATAGAGAAAGAGAGAGAGAAGCAAAGAGGAAAAGCCAATTGCTTGGGCAGGCTTGGAGAGAAATCACTTTTCTTTTGACTATATGATCAGTGACCATGAAGCCAATGCCACAGGCAGACTCTGTCTACTGACCCTGGACTTCACAGTAGTTTATTAATTCCAACATGAATTTTATCCTGCGTTTTCCGCAGACCAGAATAAACTCCACTTTTCCCCCCAATCAATAAACACCTGCCTGCTTTTGTAACCTGAAAGATATTTATTACTCACACATTGCATGGGCACATATTACACTCTACACAGATATTATGCCGCCACATGTGGAATCACTTCAACTGCCCACCCAGGTAAGCAGCAGCAAATGTAACATTGGATAAAATTGATTAAAAATGCTAACCAGTTTCATTAGGGTGGGAAAACGACCAGCTATTCAAATGGTCAGCAGTGATTCTGTTTCTCTCCTATAAACAGGAAAATATAACTGGACCAAAGCAAAAGACTTTCTTTCCAAATCTCATTTCGGGTTCAAAGCTTCACTCAGTTGACGCCGTGCAGATGTAAATCTCTATATCATCCTCAACATCTGGAAGTTCAGCCTCTCCTGACCTTAACCCCCCCACCCCATACACACACACATACACACACACACACAATTATGATTCCATGACAGTTTATGGCCAAGGTAATGACTGTCCAAAAACCCTCCAGAGACCTGAAATATAAAAGATCACAGTTGGTCCAGTCACACACTTCACAGCATCCTACGACCAGAAAGAGTTAACATCTTCAAAGCTCTACAATGCAGAAATCTTACCAGCTCGCTGCCATTGTGTTTTATTGGAAAACATGACTGTTCTAAGTACCAAATTGCGTCAATTATTCACTGTACTCAGTATTTCCTGACTTAAAACCACTACATTTTTCCATTTATAGTGAAATATCAATCCAAGTAGACAAAAGTGGTCACGTTAAAAGCCAGTCCTGCCATTGTGTTCATGGGTGTGGGCCCCTTTTATTCAATTAAAGCAGACTGAGATATCGCTGGTTACTGCTCTATCTTTTCAACCCTTTGCAACTCACTAAAACAATATGACAGAAAGAAAGAAAGATAAATTAAACATTAAAAAAGCGAGAATGAATTGCTGCAGACAAAAACGTTACACAGATAGACCTGAGAGATGTTAAAAAATGAGGCAGGAACAACAGAACAAAGATCCGACTTAAAGAGAACCTCAGCTGAAAAGAGTTTGGCGTGCATTGTATAAACGTCTTAATTATAGCTGATATTGATGTTTTACAATGAAAGGTAACAAATGGGTAGCTTTTGAATTCAATGTGGAATGTACAAAGTGGCAGAGCCTCCCTCGGGTGCTATAAAGGATGCTCTGAATTTGCAGAACACAAAGGCTATGGAACGTGTTATGTCTGACAACTCAATAGGTTAGTTATAAAAGACAGTACAGAACTGGAAAGGACCATTGCAGCCCATCTGAAGTTACAAAAAAATCCTACACTATTCCCTGAGGTATAATTCCCAATAATCATAAATGTAGTGGGAACTGCTAATTGGGACTTTGTTTGCCGTGTAATTTGCAATACTCGCAATACGCCTCATTGCGATTTCTGAAACTGAGAAACGTAGAACAAAAGACTGGGGAGCAAATCTGCCCATCTGTTTTACTGTAAAGCCTTTTTGTGTGCTTTACCATACTTGGTAATCTCATCAAATAAATCCTCTGCTCACATAGACCCAATATGACTGCTCAGCGGAACTTTAAAGTTCTGCCACCCACACACAGTCACCATCAGACAGTGCACTGCTAACCTATTCTTTACTTTGCATCTTCGGGACCGTCACTCAAAGCAGGAGGAAAAAGTTGGAATGGATTGTGTGCGGCTTTGACACCCCTTCCTTGGACCTCAAACACCCCACTAGACTGCCGCCGAGGCTCGATGCTCCTGTTTCATAGGTAACAGAACATCCAAGAATGCTGCAGCACATTATTTAGGGTATGAGACAATGACATGTCACATCATGGGACATATCATATCCTCCCCTTTGTTGATTTTATGAGTTTGCTCCAGCTTTAAAATATCAGCCTCTCGCAGTTTATCACCATAGGTTTGACCTACACTGAAAAATCCTCACACCGAAAAGAAGACATATAGGGTTCAGGTACCTCTCAGAGAGCTTTGCATGGCTCAACAGATTCATGACCGGCACTTGTTCAAATGTTAGGATTGCAGAATATTTTACCATTTCACATCTGATCTTATAGCTATTTACTCAAGCAAAGCCATTGTCCATGCTAGATAGAAAGGATGGGAGAGAAACAATGACAAACTATTGATCCCTACATTAAAGCTCAAATGATGATACCAAAAGTAAAACACAAAGTTGTACAATAACTAGAAAATTGTAACTTAAAAGTTCTGGTGATTTTCCAACAGTCGGATCTGACCCTTGACACCGTACTGAAATATAAATGAAAAATGCTGGATTTGTTTATGGGAAAGAAAATGCATTAAGCTCCTATTTTTTCCTGTTATATAATCAAGGATGACAGATTATGATTCCAAATTGAGATATAAAATAATATGGGCAGATTCAGCTATCTTTGCTCAGCTTGCTTACAACTATCCAATGACTTCTCTGGCAATGCACAAGGAAATTGGGTCTCATTTACGGTATTCAGCCCCTGACCACAATTACTGAATAAAGATGGTGAAGAATGACCCCCCCACCCTCAAAAGCTTCTTTATCCCTTTAGCGTATCCCATACTGCCCAAGTGTTAACCATGTGCTGGGAATTACTATCCTGCTTTGTAACTGAACGGGTTCATTTACTTGATCCTAATGTACAGTTTCCATTAAAAATCTTCAAAACAAGATGGGCCTTAGAATCAGACATGAAGTAAACTCAGGCTATTGTAAGTTACAGACAGATAGAGAAAGAGTGTGTGTGTGAAAGATAATAAATAAAGAGAAACACACATGCACAACACAGAGCCCAGACAGGAGGAGAGAGAATCATGGAAAAAAGTTAAGACACAAAGTGTTTTTTTTTAAAAACTTAATTCTAAAATAATGTATATGTGCTTTTTCGTGTGAATTAGAAACTGTGTGGCTTAGAATTACTGTATGGTTCCTCTCCCCCTCCCCTCCCAAATTCTTGGTTTCAAGTGATTGGCATCGAATTTTTTGCGAAAGATTTCATTGTCCCTGGTCTCCGCTCGGTAACACTGCATTGGGTTTCACACCACAACCTTGTAACTGTGACCATAACCTTAGAAAATCAACTACGGTTTTAATGGCTTACCCAAGTCAACACTGAAATGTACTATGTGTCATTACTATTTACTATTAACTATAACCAGGATTCTGATCTACTGCTGGCAAAAATAATGCTGGATTCCAATGCACACACTAAGTTCAAGAACAGCTTAGACTCACACTTTCAGGGAAAAATAAATCGGCTTTTCTTCAAATGCTATTTTGCGTGCTTGTTATGTTTTAAATCCACAAAGACCAAAGGGTTATCCAAATGATCCTTCTATTCATAAATGCATATACCGCGGGAGAGAGTGTTTGTGTGAAGATCTGGCACATGATGAACACACAAGAATTGGTTCTTAACCAAAATACCAACCGAAAGGAAATCTTAAGATGGATCGGAAAAACTGCTGGCTTCCAATGCCACGTGATGTTTGGGAAGAAGGGGCTGGCTTCCAGTTCAGTCTATGCTGTTCCCTGCCAAAGGCTTGGTGTTGTGCGGCTCAATGTTGTTTGTGCTCTTAAACACACGAGTCATTGGGAATAAAAGGGAAATAAAGGAGATGGAGGCTGATGGAGAAATAGCAATGGTAGGTATTGTGATGTTTGTTATAAAAAGCAAATTTAACGAAACCAGTCATAGAATTGTCAAATTCAGTCATAAATCAATAAGTGGTAATTAACGCAGTGGCTTCCCAGTGTGTGAATGCCACACCTTTGTTTCCCAAAGGAAAATGATTTTGTTTAACATATTTGAAGAGAGGAAATGACAAAAACAACTAACCTCTTGCGGAGATTGACAATTTTATACAAAGTACCCAATAAATGACTATACCAGCTGGTATACTGGTCATTAACTAATACCACACAAATAATTATGCTATTTTTCTGGGTTCCTCCATAAAGCATCGGTATTCAACTGAGAAACAGAATAAATAATAATCACCCCTGCATTTGACATAGTCTATATAATACCTATAATGTTGAAATTTCTAAGAGCTTCACAAGGATTTGTGGTCAAGTGTAGTGACTGTGCATTTGTCGGCAAAGATCAGCAATATTGCAATTTCCCATCTTATTTTTGAGGTTAAACTTTTAAACCTGCACATTTGATGGGAAAAATTCTACCGTAGCTTTTAAAGGTTGGCTGAAGTCTGGAATGCAGTTGAACACAGGCAAAGGATATCTGTCGGCCATGCTTGTCCATGGGAGGCTGGCGTCGATGGGGTGACATCATACGACTCCGGTCCCTGTGCACCCGCTCCACCAGCCCGTGGTGTCGTGTCGCTCGGACTGAATCCAGAGTGGGGTGAAACGAAGTCTGTAGGGGGAGGAAATCGAGAACTGAGCGTCAAAATGCTGCCCGTCATCATTTTACCATGGCTGACCAACCCTTCCGCTCAACACAAAACTACAGCATCTACACCTAACCCTTATCCGCATCGCGACTCACATGACAAAGTAGTCAGGCTGCCAGTTGGTGAAACGTTTTAATTGCATGCAATTTTTTNATCGTAATAAGGCATACAATTTTACTTTTACAGAGAGATCTGGTTCAGAGGTATATTTGAAGATTAGAGAGAAAGTACAGAAATACCGGATATCCAAATGGGGTAGGTCTTAATTAGTTTAGCTGCTGATCTCACTGCCCAAGCTATATTTTCCCCAATTAGGATACCCTGTTGAACAATGGAAAAGATGCAGCTTGGATTCACTGTGTTACCAGGGATCAGAGTCTTCAATTATCAAGAGAGTATAAAGAAGAAGGGGTAACCTTTTGAAGGACTTCAAGCTTCTGAAACATTATAATTGGGCAAATAGTGATAGGTTAGATTCGTTTGTCAGCAAGTCACAAACAAAGAGGCCACACAATTCAAGAGAATTACATAAAATGATTTAATAGGAGGTTAGAAATTTTTTTCATTTTTTTTTATATACACAGAGTGGTTGTAATTCAGGAACTCTGCCACAAACCATTGTTGAAAGAAAGTCCATAAATTATTTTAAAAAGGAAATAAATACACACATGAAAAAGAGGAATGCTGAAAGGAATGGGGAGCGAGCAGGAGAGTGAGATTATGGCACTCTACCACGTTGTCATAAACTCTGGTATACTGGAATGGAGGAAGTTACTTTATTAGAGAATTCTGCATAATTGCATCTCAGTAATATAAGAACAACTTGCACTTATATAGCACCCTCCATGCTGTGTAGTGTCTCAGAATGCTTAACAGTGGCGGAGCCTGACTCCAGGCCCGGGTGAGGGGGTGGAGAGGTGGCCGCAAGTACGATCTAAGAGGAAGGTTTTACAGGCGGGACTTGAAAAAGAGGAGAGGGGGCAAGGCGGAGGGAATGAGGGAGTGTTCCAGAGTTTTGGGGTGTAGCAGCCGAAAGCGCAACCCCCGAAGGCGGGGCGGAGGGTGCAAGAGATGAGCAGGAGGTTTGTGCCAGTCGAGCGGAGGCACCAGGGAGTGGCTTGGGAAGTGAGGAGGTCAGAGAGGTAGGGAGGTGCCAGAGTGTCAAGGGATTTGAAAACAAGTGTGAGGATCTTGAAGTCGATCCGTTTGGTGATTTGTTCGCTATATACCCTACTGCAGGGGCCAGCAGTGCACCAAAAAGTCCAGAAATTTATGTTCTTAGCACGCTCGGATACTAGATAATTATTTTTGGCTTCTTTTATACATAACTAACTTCAATTGAAAATGACTTTCCTTTGGGTTGAGTTCTTCTGCTCTGTGTAATTCACAAAATAACAGCAAATGACTCAAGTTAGCGCCTGGGAGACGTCCCAATGCCTCTGAGATGTCGGATCTTGCAAGCATGGGATTGCCACACAGATTGTATAAGTGATGGAAATAAAAAAAAGTGCCTTAAATTACTGGTTCCAGGACCACCCTGAGATTCACAAAGCTCTGATCTTTTGAATTAAAATGAATGACAACAAGTTGGACCACTGAAGAGGATTTTCAAAATGACGTGTGGAGCTCATGAGGCAGGGTGAGGTAACCTAGGCCTTTGCAGTTTGCAGATGTGAACATTCTTCGAGGGCTTGAAGAAATTGCTCTGCTTGCAGGGTTTTGCTGACCTCTGCCCTACTGCATAAACGTTTCTGGCTTTCCCGTCAGGTTCTTAAGTACAATTCTTCCGACACTATAAACATTTGAGACATCTCAATGACATGATAAGGCACTATATCAAATGCAAAGATTATTATTATTTTTACTATTTATGTACAGGGGGCGCTATGAACTTGCTGTTCAACAAAACCCCCGACCTGTAACCTGAGAACAGTACGGAATCCCTATCCAAGGGGGAGAGGAACTTTCAGCCTTGTTGGCTGCACTGAAGTCATGCCTCCCAGGACATTGCTGTACTCAACTCAGTCTAAGTCTTGGTCCTATGCAGAGCTTTCTTTATTGCATACGCGGAATCCTATTTTTTAGGGGTGCAATTTGTACATGATCTTTTTTCCTTTCCGATGCCAACTAATTCTGCATGCAACAACAGCAATTCAAGTTAGTTCCGTGCATATATGTCTTGCAAGGAACCAACCTTACCTTCAAACTGAATGCAGTAGGGAGAAATGACATGAATGCAGCAAACAATGCTAGAAATAAATAATAATCCTTTCATTTCATATAGCACCCTACCACGTCGTTGAGACGTTTCAAATCGTTTCACATCATATATTGTAAAGTGGACTGACTGTATTTTGTGGGTGAAACGTAGCAGCTAATTGCACACAGCAATATCCCACAAACAGCTGCGCTTTCAGTGACCAAATGTTTTGGCGGATGATAATAACCCCCAGAATGTTATCCAACAATTAACTAACAACCGGGTTCGGGAAACTCTTCATTCCTTTCTGCACTTTTCTCTGCTCAATATGCACATTACTCTTCTTAGACAGCATCTGATCCTTTGATCTTGAAATCTTATTTGTGTCAGCATTTTACACTCCAGATCCAAGTAGATACAGAAGATGCAGATACAAATCTGATAGATTGAAGATACCACAATTGCATTCATTTGTATTGGAACATATTGTGAGCATCAACAAAAAATTGAAGGGGTGGAATTAGGGTATATACATACTCCTGAATTCGCCGTTATTGCATTAGTCTTTTTTTTTAAAAAGTCATAGTGTAATGGGTGTTAGTATGTGTTTTTTAAATCAGTATGTGCCTGTGACCTAGCTCCTTATCACATTTGTTATCATCTCAAAATGTTTCACACATTAAGTTATTTTGAAGAGATGTGGGAAAATGTAACAGATAATCTTCATCAGTAACGCCCACACATAGTGAGTGACAAGATGAATGCCCAGTTAGTTTTGATTTGGTGGATTTGGTTGAGGGCCAAATATTGGTCAGAACACTGGAAGAAAGCCCCTGTTCTTCTGCCAAATGGCACCATGTCTTTGATGTCGACCCAGACATTCAAAATGTCTGATATTGAAGGATACACTCCTTCAAATGCAATTCTACCCCAGTACTTCAGTGTTATCTTGGAGTATGTAACCCAAAAATGCAGTTGCAAAGTGACATGGAACTTCACGGGTGATTACCAGTGGTAAATGATGAAACTGTATGACAATTGTAATCAATACACCAATACAACAGCACGCCTGAAGGGAAATTGAAAAATTGACCCCTCATCAAGTCCATCTCTCCACTTGATCATTAAGGAAGATCATGTCGTTGCACTATCCTAATCGTGCACCAAATAATAATTTGGTTACTCAATCTAGGACTGCTGCGCGCAATTGGCTGCTGCGTTTCACTCACCATTATACAGTCAATTCACTTTACAGTATATCCTGTGAAGCGTTTTGAGACATCTAGAAGACGTGATAAGGCGCAATATCAAATGCAAGGATAATTATTATTATCCTGTAGCAGCCATTAAGAAATGAGAGTAAATTTGACTTGTGTAATAATTTATTTTTAAAACCCCAATTAATAAAAAACCACAACTCAGTGTAACCTAATGAGATTTAATAGCTCCCACAGACCTTTGTCTCAAGAGTCAAGAGTGCTACCAACTGAGCCAAGAGGACACCCAAGTCATTGTAAAACAGTCAAATGCTGCTGCACGCAGACCTTTGTTCAGACAAATGGACAGTTCAGCAATGCCGTATTTGTTCAGAGAAGAGTCAATACCATACGGACAGCACTTGGCTTTGTGTGCCACTACTTTAGACAGCGGGATCAGTTGTAGCATTAGAAAAAGTATAAACCAACCACTTATCTGAATTGCTCTACCATTATTTAGCAAGTCACCTCAACCACCCTTCCTGGAAACCTGTTTCAGCCTTCCTTTCAGGTGTCTATCTTAAACTTGCCCCTCACATTCCTTGTCCTTTTGCCTTGGTGGATATAATAATAATCCTTACAGTTGAAATACCGTATTTTGCATCAGGAGTGCAGTGACTAGTTATTTTGTCGGCAAACAGGGCAGCCAACCTGCGCATAGCAACGATCAAAAAATAGACATAGGTAGAGCCACGAGATGATGAACAGGCAGGCAAGACTTCAGTTCACCATCTCATCCAAAGCACGGCACTGTCAACAGTATAACATATGCTGAGCACTGCACTGGAGAGTCAGCTTACACTACATGAGTTTGATAATAATAATCCTTGCATTTGATATAGCACCTTATCATGTCTTTGAGATGTCTCAAAGCGCTTCCCAAAATATACTGTAAAGTGAAATTACTGCATTTTTTGTGGGCAAAAAAAATGATGATCTGACATGGGGATTGAACTCACAAAGTCTAACTCCGAAGTGAGCCAGGCTGAAATCTGAAAGTATTGTCCTGTGTATACTTTCTCTCTTGCCATTATTGATACAGTAAGAGGATTCCCCTACCTTGAAGAGCACAAAATTCAGCAAAACAAAATTTGGACTGAATATTTTTAAGTGCAACATAGATGAATAGCATTGCATATTTAAACAGTGGAAGAACATTATGAATTAATAATAATAAACCTAGCTTTGATGTAGCGCCTTATCACGTCTTCGAAACGTTTCAAAGCACTTCTCTTACTATAAAGCGAATTGACTGTATATTTTGTGAGTGAAACACGGCAGCCAATTGCGCACAGCAGTGTCCCACAACCAGTCGTACTCCTGGAAAAGCGATCCGCCAATCGACTAACTTACTGCTAATAATCGGGCTCCACCATTGTTAAGAGCTCTGGGACGCCACCCGGCGTGGAGGATGCTATATAAATGCGAGTTGGTGTGGTCACTTGGTAAACAGAAGCATGTGGAGTAAGGAAACTTGCCTGACATTTCGCCCTGTCTGGGAATTGAATCCAGGACCTCTTGCTTGCGAGGCGAGTGCCATAACTAATGCGCTACAGGACTTCACGAATTGTACTTCTACACTCTGAGACCTACAGCTGCATTCGTGCTGTGATATGATTGGGAAATGATGTTACTCTGCATGTTACTCCCCTGCCTTCCAACAGGAAATCAATAAAGAAATGCATAAAACAATGAGAGGTTGCAATTGTATGAAAGGAGGACGAAACAATTTCAACCCTCCTGCCCCTTTAAATGCAGCGAGGGCTTTGTAATGCCAGTGGGGCCTCACTCAGGGAATTTTTGATAATTAACAGCATACACAGAAAAGGTACACGGAGGAAATGCATCATAAAAGTCAAACAAACCAATAGACCTTGAAAAGGGCAAAGGAGGCAAGTTAGAGGACAGTAAACAAATTGAGGGATGATACAGCCAGATCCAATGACCTTCTCAAGGAGAACATTTTATCCCACACAACGGCCCAAATGTTTTACACAGCCAGTGTACTTCACTAACAAATACCTTGGCCCACAATCCAGGTCCATTACTACAGCAACAAAAAAAACAGCAAAACGTTCAACTCTGCACCCTGCGCTTTCACTGATTGTTAAAGGCAGCACAGTCAATAATAACTATTTTTTAGAATTCTCTGGATCGATGCAGCACATTATCATATCTAAAACACCAATTTACGTTGAAATGTGGTGGCCAATATCTATGCAAACAACGCAACTAATCTGGTGCCCTGATGGCGATGAGATGAGCGACCAATTAATTTGATTTTCTGGGTGAGGTTGGATGGAGGAGGGATCGTATCCAAGACACTAGGAGAAATTCCCGACTCTTTTCCAAATAATATTGCCGGATTTTTAACATTGACCTGGACCAGCAGACAAGACAGAATCTTGCTTTAACACTCGATTGTAAAGACAAGACCACTGACAATGCAGCATTCCCTTAGCACTGCGCTTGAGTGTCAGCTTTGATTATGAGCTTGGAAAGGGACACAAACCAACAACCTTTAGATCCAGAGGTGAGAGCGCTAGTGATAATGGCTCTTGTGAGGATTTCTTGCTGTGCTACTGCAACCAGTCAATTAAATTCAATTAAAAGTGAATTAAACCAAACTGATTAGAATAACGTAAAGTTTAATCTGAAGTAGTGAAACTCGATTTACCTGAATAAAGCAGAGACCTGTCCCATTCAATCTCATCAGTAATACACTCCAGGCTCCAAGTGACTATGTGATCCATCCAACCAACCAACCTATCCATATATTTATTATACACTGAAATACTCTGACTCATAATGGCTCTCAGTCACCTCTGAGTCAGAAGCTACACTTCGGGGCGCAAGCTCACAACTCTCACAACACAGCTCATCACTATTGGGAGAGCGATAATATAGCCCAAGGTGCTGTCCTTTAAAGAATACTTATCCTAAGCTTCTGTCTGCCTGTTCAAAACGAATAATTTTCCAGATCAAATCGGTTATTCCATGGCTATTTGTGTTGCTTTATTGTGCATATAATGGCTGTCACGGCTGCCTACAAAACAGTCATTGGATTTGACAGTAATTATAAAAGTGTTTTGAGATCATCTGACATGAAAAGGTGCTATAAAATGCATTTTCTTCTTTCTCCTCTTTGCATCTTCAGTATATTGAAATCTCACTGTTGCCACTTTTCTACTAACTCATTCTTTCCCAATATCTCAAGACTGTGAAACACCTCCCCGCCTTCCATCTGTCTTTCTTAAGACTAGATGCTTATATTTCCTTCTTTCTGTTTTCTACAATCTTTAAAAAACCAATCATAGCTTCAGGTAACCTCTACTTACCTGCCTACAAATACACAGTCACTATACTCAACAGCAACTCCCCGTGATGTGCTTAAAGACACTGACCTTTGGGGTGCGATATCAAATGCAATGATTTTTATTATTTCCCAATTTATCTCGTCTGTGCTCCTACTCTTTTCACCCTTGGTACTGTCCTACACCCATATGGCCGATACCTGGATTTCTCAATAAAAATAATATGGAACAAAGTTCAGTCAGCTGCTAAACAAGTATTTTGTACTGGAATTAGGGGACAGAAAGTACGAAGCTAAAAGGTTTCAGACAGCACGGGATCTCCAATTCCAGCATTAAAAGCTGTTGCAAAACTAAGCTTGAAGATGACTATATTGCTTTATTATAGGATGGCTAAACTGTCTACTTAAGAATCTGAGGGGAGGGATTTCATTTTATTCAGTCTTTCTGGTGGAACTGTGTAACACAGCTAATTTGTATGAAATTATTTGATATCAGACAAAATTATTTTATACTAGCACAGTTCTAAAGATTAAAACACTCAAACCTAATCTATCAATCCCCACCCCGCTGCCTTCTCAGCACAATACCAACGAACAAAATTAGATGATCACAAAGCTATACTTAAAAGTTGGGAGATTCATCTCAAAGCAAATTCAATACACAACTTGGATTGTAGAGATGACAATCTTGGTTTCGTGAAGACTTCACACAGAAATTGAATTATATGTGAAGAGACACCGTTTAACCCAGTTCCATCTGTCTGCTCTAGTTGCTCAAACAAAATTTAATAATCCTGTCCCGCTAACTGGAAGCAGAGCAGAGATTTTTCTCCCAGCTTCCTGGTGTATATTCCTCACTCATCCAAATTCACAAAGCAGAAGTTTTAAATTCAACAAGGCACGGGATCGATGTGATAATTCTTTATATTATAGATTGTACTGCCTTTTAAGGCAATGAAAATCAGAAGACAGACCTGAAAGTTGTGTAGATATTTTATTAACACAATATTGCACTTGCATTGTGTGCTTGAATTCCCAATTCCTAATAATATTCAGATCTAGACTTGGTTCCATTGCCAATGACAGACAGAAAGCACTTCAAAGACTAACCACATGGACATGTGTATTGCAGCTTCCTGTTGCATTTACCAATCGAAAGGACAGACTGTCAAGACTTTCATGGGCGTTTGCAAATTCTGACTTCAGAATTTGTTGGCAAATGCTTATTGGGAGAGATTATTGGGAGTGTACTACAGGAGATGGCTGTCACTGGGGCATCTGAAATAAATAAGATGTGCATGACAGTAATTTAATAGGAAGCTTGAGCTGGAAGATACATTCTCAATGATTTCCCTAATGCAAATTTTGAACGATATATTTCTGTCCTTTTGTTATTCTTTTGTGGCAAGCGTAGATAGGAGTGGTTTCCTGCCAGTATCATCACACCATCTGATGGCAACTTTACTTCAACGACCTAGCATCCTGGATTCAGTTGCTATGTGCAGGAAGTGTCAGTGGCACTTCCTGTGCAAATCACGTGTGCACAGTATACAGGAATTATCAGCGGGGGTTCCTGCATTGGCGCACTATGCGTAGGAAGTGATGTCAGTGGCGATCTGACAATCTGGAGGCAGTCATTTAATCAAAGCTTCCAACAGTCACTCATAATATAGCCCTGCTTGCAGTTACCTGGAAATCACTGTTGTTCCCGATCTGGTTGACGTTCGGTAAGGATCCTCCATAATACTGTGCTCGGGTCTGGGCCAGACGCAAGTGCTGCAGTTTGTGGAACTGGACCTGAAGATGAACAGGAGACATGAGTTAATGAGCTGGCCAATCTTGGAGCTTGCTGCTAAGACAGAGATTCCAAAACACTTACATTATGAGCTAAATAATATCCTTCTGTGCTGTAAACTTTGTATGATTCTCTGAAATACTTAAATCAACGTGTGCTCAGTATTACAATCTATTATCTGTAATCTTTATTGTACACATAAAAGAATAAAAGTGTCATTGTGCAGTTTCCTTGACTTCCAGTCACTGATCCACATATCTCCTGTTACAAAACGAGTATTCAGTTACTCTGTTCTCCTTCTCGCCTTACAACATAAGCACAAGACTGAGATTCTGCCTCAGCCTCCCTCAATCTGTGGCAACCTGTGTCTCCCTGGACGATGCAGCTTGTTTCAGAAAAGGGTGGAAAAAGGAGGAGAAGCATGCTGCCTCACTGCTCCTGCTGTGACGGTGACAAACATTAAACTTGTGATAATAATCCTTGCTTTTGCTGCAGTGCCATATTAGGCCAGAACATCTTAAAGCACTTCACACAAACAATTATTTTGAAGAGATAATTGTTATTTTGGCAAACGCAGTGACTGCTCTGCACTAACAATGTCCCAATCACAGTAATGAGATGAAAGACCAATTAGTCTTTTATTGCTCAACTTGGGAGAGAGCATTGCTTTTCTTTGAATCTTTAATATGCATCTGAATAGCTAGAATAAGCCTATATGATCTTGGTCTAAAGTCTCATCCAAACGCCACAAGGTCAGACTAGAGAATCAGAACCGAGAGATGACATCCTTCAGCTGCAGTGTTGATGATACAGTTTTACAGGTGAGATGTTAATCCAAGGTCTGCCTTTCTTTGGGTTAACTTGAAAGATCCACAACAATTTAAAAGAGAAGAAAGTTTCTCCTGGAGTCCTGATCAATGACAACTTGCTTTTATATAGCACCTTCACGCGCAGTTGGGTCTTGAAGCACTAGTCAACAATCTTCCAGAATAATTGGTCATTCACCCCTTGGCTGTGCGCACAATGGATGCTGCATGCAGCTACAAAAATAGTCACTATATTTGACTCAATTAATGTAAACTGCTTTGAGCCTTAGGCGTACAAGAATTCACAAAAATAAAAGTTTCCTTTCTTTTTATCCTTGCGTGGGAGAGCAGCACTACACAAGGACACTGGAGCATTGATTGGTCGCGTGGTCAAATTGCAGCCAAACAGTGGACTCTGTGTCGTTTTACACCGCGACCAATTCAGAGACTCAAAAATAGTTATCGCCGTTCTGTATCTATGAAAGAAAACGCGCTATTCACTTTTCAGTTCTCAGTGAAAAACTGAACTTGCATAATTCCTGCGGTGACTGGCATTGCACATGCCTGTAGGCTGTCTCTGACACTGCAATTGACTGCGGGCTTTCTCTGACCCTATTATTCATAACTCTGCAGCTTGTGTCCTCTCCTGCAGCAAACTCAGTGAACCTATCACCCACATCTTCACCTGGCTCCACTGCCTCCCCATCCCCCAGAAGATAGAGTTCAAAATCTTCGCCTTCGCTTTCAAAGCCCTCAATGGCCTTGTTCCTCCCACCTCTGTGATCTGCTAACTCGACCTGTCTTCTACCTCTGCTCAGCGGACTCTGGTCTGCTCCACGTCTCCCGCCCTGCCCGCTCCCATCATTGGCCGTCGAGCCTTCAGTCTTTCTGCCCCCACATTTTGGAACTCCATCCTACCGTCTCTTCGGCTCGCACCCCCCTACCTTGCCTCCTTCAAGGCCGTCTCAAGATCTTCCTCTTTGACCGCACCTTCAGCTACCCTCCTACCCCACCCTCCCTGCTCTCTATACCTCCTGATCCCAGCCCCCAGCTCGGGTGCAAATCCTTCATTGTCCAGTATCTTGGGATTCCCTCCCGAAGCGAAAGGTGCTAAACAAATGTAACTTGTTGTAGTTATTTGCCTGTGGGCTGGCACTACTATTGCACACACCTTCAAGCTGCCAATAGCATTCAATGCAAGCACATGATCAAAGAAACCCAAATCAAATTGCAGCTGCCCTGCTACACAGAGCACCTGCATTGAGCTCACTCTGTTCACAGTCCACTCCTGTACGCTCAAGAAACTAGTTATAAATTCACGCACCAGGTTTGCTATGAACTGCAAACTCTGCACTTTTCTACCAGAAATAACTTAAAATAAAACGTTTTGAAGTTACAAGCTTCAGACAAAGAATATTTGGGTTTTCTGCCAGATTAAATAAACTTGGTGTAAACACGAGCGAATTATGCTCCAGTGCACACTTGTGTAACATGCACCACGTGTAAACATGTATTGTGTACCAAGCATAAATGCATGTGCAAACACTTCTGCATTACATACCATGTGTAAACGCTTATATACAGAGGGAATTACAGGCTCCCTTAATGTAAAATGATTGTTTCCATTGAGTGTTTAATTACATAATTAAGGCTACTGGCAAACGGGTGTACACGTGGAGCACAATGGATCCCAATTTGCAAATCATTACATCAGCATCTACTTGTCAATGTGTTGGCGATTTCATAAGAAGAAATGACTAAATAACTCCCACATCTGCTATTAAGCTTACATGTGGTGCAGAATACACAGGTGTTTACACACAGAGAATAATACACAAGGTCCATTTATACAGTGCAGATATGTGTTTAGTGTAGAATTTAACAGCATTTAAACACACAACCGTTCATACATGACGCATTATAGACAAGTATGTACATACTGATCAGTATACCCAACTGCAATCACTGTAGAGTCTAGTCCAAAAATAAGTCAAACAAGAATCCCACTAAATGCTTGGCTCTGGTGGATTCATGGCAGCGAGATATTATTATAGCCAGGCAAGGGAAGAATGAATAATCCTGAAGTCACACTAACTTATTCTGAAAGACGAGTTACGAAACTCAGGCCACTGTTTCAGGGTTCTGCACACAAATGTTATTGGACTGGGAAGCTGCCAAATATTTCACCCTTAGAACCATTACGTAAGCCACTTTTTTCCTCAATTGACCTCACATGCCACGGATTCATTCTGAACTTTAAAAAAATACTGATATGGGATTCCCAAAATATTTATGTAAAAGAGAAACAAAAGATAGACATGGTCCATGTAAAAGGCTGCGTGGGTTGAAGACTCTTTGTTGACGTGAGAATCTAGGTGTGGTAACACTGTTTACAGCGCATTCCAATATATGGCAGTGATGTTCCCAACCACATGGGCCACAGGCTCACATGGGGGTCTGTGCTTTGCTCATTCAGTTAGCTGCTGTGCTGGAGGGAGGGGGCGGCAAACCCCAAGATGCCATCTTTTAAATAATGGAAGATGTAAGAAGACGTTAAGGAGAAGTGATGAGGCAAAGAGATTTTGCTGCAAGATTTACATATGGGGCACAGGGAAGAAAAGCGAACCAGCTCTAGTGCAAGTTTCACAGTGAGTGTTGCACCCATCAGGCAGCTGTGCGGGCCATCTTTGTAGATAAAGAAGCCTGCCATCTGAGCCCTACCCACACACTCACATAACTGAGCAGTTCAAAGAACTCCACCAAGCAGGCTGCATTCAAAGCTGAACCTAAGAGTCTTCTTTTCCCCTTAAATTAAATCTCTTTGGAAATACTTCCCATTTAATGATTATTGTTTTAGTCAGACACTTTCACCAACCTGTTGCAGAAAAGCAAAAAAAGAGGAATTAGCCTCAGTCAGTGATTCTGCAAAAAACGCAAGCCAGACCGCAAATTAAGAAACACCCGAAAGCATCAGAAAACATTCCTGCTGTCTCCTGACTCAAAGCTGCTGAATATTGGGTGCTTGGAATTGTAGACCAGGTGGGGGAAAAAAAAACTTTTATTTAAACCTTTACCCAAACACTGAATTAGCTTTTGGAATGTACTGAGATTAAAAACTGTACTTTCCTGCATGCGTCAAGGCCGACAGTGAATCAGTTTAAGATCTGACTAACAAGCAGAGAAACGGTCCTTTTACTCTCTGCCTGTTGCTGCAGTAGATTTCTGTCATTATTGGTCATGCCCAGCAAGTGCATCGATACAGAGGCAGCTTCTGAGATTACAAAGGGTAGTGTGGGGTAGCTCAGCACAGATCTGTACATTTTGTTTCAGAAGCTGAAAATCCATACAACCTCATCAGATCGGCACACAGCCTCAGCTGGAAACAGCTTTAATAATGTCTCAACCTCAATCACCCCACAGCAACTTCTCTTTGCCCCATTTTTAATTTAAGGTCGCTCTTACCCTTGGCTACACTTGTATTGCTGGTCCTAGAATGGAAAGGTTGGATTTAAATATTTTAAATATCTACAAAGTTGTGCTCTTCTGTATTGGTCCACAACTTCAAGAATCAATCGGTCCAAAGTTGAACTGGAATTGTGTTTTTATTTAATGAAACATAGGCAAAAGATAGAACTTATATTTTTTTAGAGCATCTTCCAAAAAGAACATTTAATGCAATATGTTTTCTCAGGCAGAATTCGTCTAATACACATTAACTTAAATTTTAGGGAACTTACATTTTTACGGTGCCTATCTTAAAGTGCTACTCACATAATTAGTATTCTTGCATTTGAATTTTCTTAAACAGCTGCACAGGAATTATTGTAAATTGTAGGGATTGTATTTGTAGGCGTATGAGGCAGCCAATTTGCATACAACAAAGTCCCACAAACAGCTCTGAAGCGAGTTACCAATTTTATCTGGGGGATTGTTGGCCAGTACACCGGGAGAAATTCTTCTCTTTTGAATAATGCCATGGGATCTTTAACATCCGCCTGAATATGCAAATGGGACATTGATTTAATCTAACTTGAAGAAGGAAGCATTTGATTATGCAGGGCTTCCACAGCATTGCACTGGAGGGTCAGTCTAGACTATGCAGATTCACAGTCCCAACATGGAGCTTTAACTTATGATTTTCTGTCAAGTGTTCACTTGTTCATAGACAAATGCAACAGCCATTTCTGCTAGCAAGGTGAATGATGGATTAACATGGAGTATCGTTGGCCAGGACACTGAACATACTTCCGTTAGCTTTGATGCACTGGAAACTTTGGGTTTTTTAATGTCCATCTGAAGAATTGGCAGCCTGGACCTTGGATTAATATCTGATCTGATATATGCTTCCCCATTACTGTCCTGACCAAACAGGAAAAAAAGGAAGAATTGTACATGGACCTTTTATTGTGCAAAATCTGTTCCTGAAGCTTTTTTGATGCCCTCCAATACTTGTCCTCCACATCATTTTGCTCCCCAGGACTGCCAGGTGTTCAAACTGCACCAACTCATCTGAACTTCCGCACCCAACTGTGAATATTATGGAACTTTCAGCAATTAGGAATTCATAGTTAAATAGGTTCTTTTTTTCAAAGGAAATTAAGAAACAAGACATTGTAATTTGTGAAACTGATTCCAGGCACAGAAAACAGCTCTGGCTCCTATGGTTGGCCATTGAAAATTGATTCAAGCCACAAAAATCTCAATCTGGCGAAAATACTAAAAGTTAAAACTGTTGCAGGTGTTGCAACAGTTAGAAGCTAACTGACGGATATGTGATCCAAACAGAATTCAGAGTTTCAGCGTGGGTTTCCAGTCGGACCAGCCAGATGGACCACAAAGTCCTTTGCATTCCTTTGGAATGAACCACTTCAATTAAACTAATCTGACTTGATCATATTTCACCATCAGCAATACCAAGAAAGTCTAGATTGGAGCGAGATGCTATCCACATGATGGGCGCTATAGAAATCATGTTATTGTTGTTGATCTTTCCTTGTACTGGTGTTGGTCAAAAATAATGTCCAAAATCCAATTTTAGTCTCTACCAAAGCTGGACATTCCATGAGGATAGCAAGATATGACAGCGAGTGTGGGAGTGATCTCTCTTACCTCTGCGGGCTATCGCTAAGGTTAATCACAATCCTTCAAAATGTCAGAGGTTGTTTCTGACTCTCTGAATGTTGATATAGAGGCCTGAAGAGAGGTAAGAATCAATGTTTGTTGTTGAAAAACGTACATTCCCTGCAAAAAACACGGGCTGTAATTCTTGAAATGGAACGTGTGTCTGTGCATCTGCACCAAAGGAAACAAGAGCTGATAGATTCTCAAGGCCAAATAAATAGGTCTTGGCAAAGATGCTTTGGGAGCCGACATATGATAGAAGCATCAAAGCCTCATCGGACTAAGCTTTCAAATTCTCCTATTAAATTTAGATTGTTTAAAGATGGCTATTTTTGGAACAACCAGTACAACAATTTCAACAACAACTTGCATTTAAACTGCTCCTTTCACATAGGATGAACTCCTCAAAGCGCGTCTCAATTATTGATTATTAATTAACCGGAAGAAAAAGAGGGGGAGTTTGAGGTTGTTAACTGTAAGTTAAGATATGTTTTTAAGATGTTGTGAAGGTAGGGAGAGAAGACAAGGCAAAGGGACTTTTTGTAGACGGTTCAGAAGCGCGGGGAATAGTGGCAGGAAAGCCCGACCACCGATGATGAGGTGGAAAGAGTAAGGAACAAAAGGCAGACCAGACTTAGAAATGCAGAGAGTACATGAAGAAGAATAGGCCTGGAGGACATTACTGAGGTAAGGGATGGAGCAAGTTCACTAACACCACAAAACATCCTCGCCACGACTGCAAAGGACAAGTTTGTGTTCATCTGTGACTCACGCTGTGGTCAAATAGTTTGCTGTCCGAGAGCTCCATGAATAATGGTCAGCAGAGGAGACCAGCAAAGAGTAAGAGCGATAGTCAGAAGACAATTAAGAGAAATTGGTGGGAGTCACTGGAATTCCTTCACTCCTTAAATACGGTTTCCAAATTTGGGACTCTTTGAATAAGTCAAAGCGCATTACATTATCTTACATTTTTTCCCCCAGGATTTCAACACAAATGGTACCCTTTCCTCACTTCCTCCTATGCTACTGTGGGTTTTAAGTTCCATCAGAATTATGATTTTTAAAAAAATATTTATATAATCACATCCTGCAGCAGTGTACATTTGTTCTTTTACTTTACGTTGATGCTGTAAGAAATCAGGCAGAGGATAAGCGCAGATTACACTTTAAACCTACATTTTGGAAACATCTAAAAGCACACACCTTAAACCCGAAAAGTCAAGCTGAGTATCGGCAGGTAATTTAGAGTACAAATCCACTAAAAGGATTAGAGTTAAGCAGGTTTCTCGACTCCTGACTGATATCGAGATATACAGCATCTCAGTAGCTCATCATGTATTAATGCCGCCCAGTCTCTGAAGTACGTTTGGAAATCAAAGTACGCAAGGATCTCAGGATCAGCCTCTCACTACCACAGCATGTTGATCAGCATTCATTGGAACTTTTTTTAAAAAATAAAAAGACCAAACAAAAATCTATAAAATTGTAACAACTCTAAGTTAGTTTTGCTCTGAACCATAATAGAACTGGAGTAGACCTCCATTTGGAAACAACTGGCAGTCTATACAGCAGTTTATTGGCAACTGCAAGCAATGATGCACCCATTGCTTAAACCCCAAACTCTAATTTCTTGCCATTTTTTTCCTAACTCTTATCCTGGTTCAAATACTTGGGTCCAAGTTGGTCTAATGCATTCAGCGAACATTAATATGAAGATTGCCATGAAATGTGAAACAATCTTAAACAATACTGAGGTGTAAGAAACCTACAATCTCTTGCATGACACAGATTTCAAGCAGAGGTATATTTGCTCTTAATTATTCTTACTGAAGAATATTTCAGGGTACAATTGTTACAAACCTGGAAATCTGTAAATGAGGTTATAAAAGTACTGTGGTTTAAGATTTATGAGTTCCTCTTTTCTCCATTAACCCCATAAGATACATAGGCAGTGCCTTGAATGATGGAATCACTGTATTTTGGTTTGCTAAGAGGCCTTTAAAATTGCCAAGCATGGATTAAAACACATTTTCACACTCAATTTGCCTTAGTGGCAGTGTCTGGAGTGGACAAGGTAAAATTTAGAAGAAACAAATAACACAGTAGGGTCCGGGGGGAAATGAGGAGCAGGCACAATTTGCCATGTAGCAGTGTTTCACTTATAGCTTTTAACCTGCACAACCTTTCCTTTGTGTACCAAATGGCAAATGGAAATTTTACCCTATTGCATAACTTGCATTTACGTAGAGGTAACGTACATTTCATAGCACTTTATCAAATTGAAATATCTTAAAATGCTTCAAAAGAATTACTATAAAGTCATATGAATGTTTTTATAGGTAAACATCTTAGTCATTTTGCATGCCACAATGTCCCATAAACAGCCAATGAAATGAATGACCAAATAATCTGAAGGACTGTGGTCCAGGAAGGACACTGGGAGAATTTCTCTTCTTTTTCCATACTCTTTTTTCCAGGAACTTTTAATGTCCACCTAAACAGTACCTTTAATGTTTCATCCAAAAAAAATAGCACTTTGGACAAAACAATGCTATCCCAGTACGTGTTGGGAGTGTGCGCCTAGACTATGAGTTCAAGTACTGATGTGGAGCTGGAAATCTTGACCTTGTTTCTGACCCAGAGGCAAGAGTACCGCCAACTTTGCCAAAATGACACCTTTGCGTAAAAGAACATCTTAAAGCATCTTAACGGGAGCTGTATTCCAACGCATTGCTGCGATGTGCAGGTGCGTAAAGGTTTAATGAGATGGTCAGCTCTCTCACCGAAGAAGTTCCCCATTAACTTCATCGATAACTGCAGTGGACAGAGTACTCACTGCTCATAAAGCTGCAGAGCATAGATCTGAAGGGTAAGGCTCAAATGTTAATCTACCTTTAACTCGTGCTCAGTGCTCCGATACGCAAAACCTGCATTCTCTACTTTAGACCTTTTCTTAGTGAATAGGGGGCCACGGGATCTTGAATATCCACCTGAAAAGGCAGTCGGGACCTCGGTTTAAAGGAAGCGACGTCACGGATCAAAGTGGAGGGAGGGTTGCGGGTGGCGGTGGTGATGGGGGTGGTGGTGGCGGTGGTGATGGGGGGTGGTGGCGGGTGGGGGGGAAGGGGGTTGGTCTCCGATGGGGATGGAGCGGGTTGTAGGTGGGACGCGTGGATTTCTCGGCTCGGTTCGGGAAAATACTCTCGCAAGGCACGACGACGGGTTTCCCGCTTGGGTCGAGGCAACGCGGCTGACCGAAGCGAGGGCTGGAGGGTCTCCGATGGGGAGGGAAGGAGGGAGGAGGTGGGGGGGGGGGGGGTGTGGAGGGAGGGAGGGGGTGGAGGGTGAAGAGGGATTAAAGAAAACACCACACAAAATAAAAACAAAACCCAACACCCGATTAAAAAAAAATAAACTTACGTCAAGAGCCAACTTTCCTACACACACACACACACGTACGTATATGATAATAATAATAATAATAATAATAATAATAATAATAATAATCCTCGCATCTGATACAGCGCCTTTTATCACGTTTTCCAGACGTCTGGAAGCGCTTCGCGGGACACACCCGCGAAGTGAAGCGACCGCGCGTCAAAGCTGTGCGGTATTCGCCGCAGACACGGACTTTATACGCGGCAAAAGCGCGGGGAGAGGAGGTGGTTGCGGGGGGGTGGGGAGAGCAGGCCTCAAAGCCTGGGCCTCGAGTCCGGGGGGCGCCCCGGGCAGGGCGCTCGCTCACTCACTCACCCGCGACACGGTCAGATCCTTCATCACCTCCTCGAAGGCGGCCGTCTCCTCCGCCTGTTTCTGGTTGTGCAGCGCGATCTTCTCGCTGAACTTGCGGGGGTTGGACGGCCCCGAGGCTCCGGCCGCGCCGCCCGAGTGGTGGTGGTGGTGGTGGTTAGGCCCGGATCCTGGGGCTCCGGTGCCACCGCCCACCACTCCCCCGCTGCTGCTGCCGGCCATTGCCGCTCGAGGGGGGTCCCGGGGCCGCGCGGGCGAGGGAGGGAGGGAGGGAGGGAGTGTGTGTGTGTGAGAGAGAGAGAGAGAGGAGGGGGTGAGGGGGGAAAACCCCACACACCGACCAGGGCCGCGGGGGGTGCGGGGGAAGGGGAAGGGGAGGGGGAGGGGATGAGCAAAAAAAAAACGCGGCCCCGAACAAGTCCCGAGAAAGTCAGTGTCCGAGAGGCTCGGGTTCACTGTCGGTGCCACATCCCCAGAGCCGGAGAGGGGGAGAGGGGGAGGAGGAGAGGGGCCGCAAAACAACCCTCAACCCTCGGCCAAAGAAAACCTCCCGCCGCTGGAAAACAGGCAGCGGCTCAGCTCAGCCCTCAGCTCAGCTCAGCTCTCTCACTCACCACTCACTCACACACACACACACACTCACTCACTCACTCACTGACACACTCACTCACTCACTGACACACTCACTGACACACTCACTCACTCACACACACACTGACACACTCACTCACTCACTGACACACTCACTCACTCACTCACTCACTGACACACTCACTCACACACACACTGACACACTCACTCACTGACACACTCACTCACACACACACTGACACACTCACTCACTGACACACTCACTCACTCACTCACTCACTCACACACACACTGACACACTCACTGACACACTCACTCACTGACACACACACTCACTCACTGACACACTCACTCACACACTGACACACTCACTCACTGACACACACACTCACTCACTGACACACACACACTCACTGACACACTGACACACTCACTCACTGACGCACTTACACACTCACTCACTCACTGACACACTCACTCACACACTGTGGCTTTCCAACTCAGCCTCCAACCGAAACTGTCCGCTTTGGTTCCAACGCTGTCTCCAAACTAAACCAAACCACACACACACACACACACACAAAAAGGAAAGCCTCTCCTCCTCCTCCTCCTCCTCTCCTTCTTCCTGTGGTCAAAGTTGTCTTCAGGTCTCACTCACTCACTCTCACTCACTTCTCTCTCTGGTCTGTGGTCGCAATCGCAACGAAGGTTTTTTTTTGTTATTTCTCCCCTCACCCCTCAAAGAACAGTTCTTTGTCTCCAGAACTGGAATTGATTGTTCCTCGTTTTTTTTGGAGGGTGGTGGGGGGTTGGTGAGTGGGGGTGGGTGGTGGGGGTGGGAGTGTGGGTGGGTGGGAGTGTGGTGGGTGGGGGGTGGGGGGTGGGTGGGAGTGGGGTGGGTGGGGGTGTGTGGGGGGTGGGGGAGTGTGTGGGGGGGGGTGGGTGGGAGTGTGTGGGTGGGAGTGCGTGGGGGTGGGTGAGTGGGAGTGGGGGGGGGTGGGTGGGAGTGTGTGTGGGGTGGGGTGGGTGAGTGGGAGTGGGTGGGGGTGGGTGAGTGGGGAGTGGGTGGGAGTGTGTGGGTGGGTTATGTGGTGAAAAAATATTCTTTTTGTTTGGGGTTTAAAAGTCTTGAAAATAGGTCCTTGGTTGTTTTGAAGAAGAAATTCGCTCGTGTATGTGTGTCTGTGTGTGTTAGTGTGTGTGTATGTGTTAGTGTGTCTGTGTGTGTTAGTGTGTGTTGTGTTAGTGTGTGTATGTGTATGTGTGTCTGTGTGTGTTAGTGTGTCTGTATGTGTTAGTGTGTGTGTGTTAGTGTGTCTGTATGTGTTAGTGTGTGTGTGAATGTGTTAGTGTGTCTGTATGTGTTAGTGTGTGTGTGTATGTGTTAGTGTGTCTGTATGTGTTAGTGTGTGTGTGTTAATGTGTCTGTATGTGTTAGTGTGTCTGTGTGTGTTAGTGTGTGTGTGTATGTGTTAGTGTGTCTGTATGTGTTAGTGTGTATGTGTGTCTGTGTGTGTTAGTGTGTCTGTGTGTGTTAGTGTGTCTGTATGTGTTAGTGTGTCTGTGTGTGTTAGTGTGTCTGTGTGTGTTAGTGTGTCTGTGTGTGTTAGTGTGTGTGTGTGTGTGTTAGTGTGTCTGTGTGTTAGTGTGTCTATGTGTTAGTGTGTCTGTATGTGTTAGTGTGTGTGTATGTGTTAGTGTGTCTGTATGTGTTAGTGTGTCTGTGTGTGTTAGTGTGTGTGTGTGTTAGTGTGTCTATGTGTTAGTGTGTCTGTGTGTGTTAGTGTGTCTGTGTGTGTTAGTGTGTCTGTGTGTGTTAGTGTGTCTGTATGTGTTAGTGTGTCTGTGTGTCAGTGTGTCTGTGTGTGTTAGTGTGTCTGTATGTGTTAGTGTGTCTGTGTGTGTTAGTGTGTCTGTGTGTGTTAGTGTGTCTGTATGTGTTAGTGTGTCTGTGTGTCAGTGTGTCTGTGTGTGTTAGTGTGTCTGTATGTGTTAGTGTGTCTGTGTGTCAGTGTGTCTGTGTGTGTTAGTGTGTCTGTATGTGTTAGTGTGTCTGTATGTGTTAGTGTGTCTGTATGTGTTAGTGTGTCTGTATGTGTTAGTGTGTCTGTGTGTTAGTGTGTTAATGTGTGTATATGTGTGTGTGTGTTGGTGTTTCCTCTGACAGTCCTCGGTTGATTAGGGAAATCAGACAGTTCTGGTGCTGGACAAGGCTTGGAAAGTCAGTCAACCTCTTTCGATTCTCACCAAATTTTTTCTCTCTCTCAATTTATTTTCAAATCGGTCTGAATTTGACTGTCATCTCCTTCCCTCCCCCCCTCCCCCCCTCACACACACACAGACAGACAGACAGAAGAGAAAAACACTTGCACAAAATGAAAGGAGATTGACCTTCTAAACTCCTCCGCTAGAGGAGAAGAGAGAGAGACACAGAGTGGCTGAAAAACAATTCCTGGTTACCTCCCTGTCAACACACACACACACACACTCAAAGAGTATTGTGCAGCTCAGGACTAACCTGTTTTTGTTCATTCTCAAAAGGGAATTTGCAGTCGTGTTGGGCAACTTGATTTATTGATTGATTGATTCTTGTTAAATTAAAAGGTAGATTTTTTTTCAATGAAAAATAAAAGGATTGGGAAAAACCTTTTTTTGGTGCTGTTCTCGCCCGTGGCACACATCGAAAGAAGCTTCTCTCAATGATATTGCACGTTTCCTTCACGGGTTTGAACTTCCTTGAGCTTCTGTGAACTCACGGCTGAATTGACGAGATCTTTTTGTCCTGAATTGGATTAAAACATCTGGATGCCTAATTACTTTTTCTGTTGGAAATTTCCATGTGTCTTGAACAGAATGCACGCTCCCTCTCCCCCCGCAGGGACGTACCTAATTCCGAGCAGTATTTGTCGCAGGTTGGCAAGAGCCAAGGTTTGGGGACCCGAGTGTGTGCCTTGGGGTGCTGCTGGAGCTTTACCAGCTAAAACTGCATTGCTTACCACTTTCTGGCAACCTTCCAGCTGCTGGTCCAGCCCGGACCAACCTAGGGCTTTTTNATGCAGGGTTAACAGAAGCTGAATGGGAAGAATCATTCACTAGTTGGCCCTCCAAGTCTTACCAATGACAGGCTGGCTGGTCTGTCATCATCAGTAACCTGGAATTTTATGGAAACGCCTGACTCTGGACTACCGAGATCACCACAAAACAACATTTCATTGCCAAGTATGTCATTTCTGAGCCACCCCAGTTCCAAGGAGACCCTGCTTACCCTCATCAGAAAAAAAGGACATTGGAACAGGATATATTAAATAATAAATGCACTGATATCTTTCACCAAGGCATCCTGCATCAAACTTTCAGTTTTGAGTATCTGTCTCTCGGGGAAAGTCCCACCTAGAGTGGAAGAACCATGTTCTTGATACAATAATATTTATTCACTGTGGTGATTTCAGGAAATAAATATTTGTGTAGGAATATGAAAAGAATAAACACATCACTGCAGTGAATTTATACTTCACAGTAAAGTCAGCTTACAGTGAGAGCTAAGCCCAGTGTCTCACACAGTAAAGACACTAACTACGGTGACTAAGAGATGCATAGTCCAGAAGGTCACAGTTAATATAATTGGGCTGAGTCTGCTCATCAGGAGTGTCACTAAGAATGCTCGTGTGACCTCTGGGCTACAAGAAGGGGAAAAAATCAGAGTCCCCAATGTTAATCATCGTCTTTGTTGGGAAATGTAGGTTTATGTCTGTTTATGAGGATAAGATAGACTAGCCTATGATACCCTCTCCTCTAACAAACCTTTTTGTCTGGGCTCACAACTGAAACAATAACCCCTTGGGAAACGGGCACAGCAGGACTCAAGCGAGTCTCCAGCCGAGGGGATAAAAAGAAATTATTTTCACGATCATGAAACAAACTTCTGTGTTTCAAATCTCAAGAGTTCCTTTCACAGAGTGAAAGTGATAATCCCAGTCAACGCAAACAGCTGATGCATGTCATATAAACACAAAGCACCAGGAGCAAGTACTTGACATTGCGTAACATGTTCAGAACATGGTTGAATTTGAGAAAAATAATACCGATTGTGTCAAACCACAGTTTATGTAAGTCGGACTGTTCGGGAGCACGTTAAAGATCCCATGGCACAATTTGAAGAGACGGGAGTTGTCCCCGTATCCTGGCCAACGATACCGCATTTCCCAAGTAAAGTTGGTCTTTCATGAGTGTTTGTGGGACTTTGCTGCCGCATTTGCCCACAAATACAGTCACTCCATTGCTCAGTAATTCCTGTGAACTGCTTTGAGACATCCTTCTGACAGATGAGATGCTATACTAAGTGCAAGGATTATTATTATTATTACTAAGAGGATTGCAATTGGTGCCAGCCTTGGGGAAGAGCCTTCTTGGGCTGAGTTGTGGGATCACTACAGTCTTATACACCAGATAATCGTTCCTCATTTCCTTCCCCCCTCCTCTATAACTCATATCCACAAATCTTATATTACGTTGGTTTCCTGAGGACATAGTTAATTAGTTTAATAAATTAAGAGGTTGGAGTGTGCATTTGGGAACATTTGGCAAAAATCTGAAGTAATTAACGCTAACTTTGAGGATGATCTGAATTCCAAACCACCCCAATTCAAGGGAACTGATTTTTGAGTATTGGCAACAAATCTACAGTGCCAGTGACACTAAAGCACATTGACATTAAAATCTACCAAGATCCAATAAACTGATGAAACAGGCTCGATGGGCTAAATGACCTCCTCCTGTTCCTGTTTTCCTATCTTTCTTTGAGTGTGCTAAACTGGTCCCGGAGTGCCTTGCTCATTGATACCATAATTAGGGCCTGTAATTTTTGGTTTTAACCAATTGGCTGCTGTGTTTCCCCCACAAAATATACAGTCAATACACTTTACAGTATATCCTGTGAAGTGCTTTGAGACGTCTCAATGACACAATAAGACGCTATATCAAATGCAAGGATTTATAATTATTATCCACTTTGAAACAAACCAATTCCTTCCAGTAGGTCCTCTCACCGCCTGGTGTGACTCAGGAACACAAAGATTCACGTACTGTACAGTATTTATCCACTTTACATTCTTTTGCTATTTCTCGTCTTATCAGCCCCGGTGGTGACCCAGACTGTGGGCCTTGACCCTTCACCTGTGTTTCTTCTTAAAACCAGGGATTGAAGTCTCCGGAAAACAGATCTGTTCCTCCTAGTGGTCACTCTTTGGAAACTCCTGAATTGGATTTGAGTTTCAATGGTCATGGTCACAAATAAATGGTTAACAATCCTTGGGCCACCACTTGTTCCCTAGGTATCTTTCTCCTTTGGAGGCGCATTGGCTTTATTTTGTTAAATAGTCGTGCTTCCCCCCCAAAAGATTAATTTAGGTTAAAGAAGGTTGATGGCAGGAGTGTTGGCTCCTCGTGTTAGTCAGGCTAAATTCAGTGCAGTGCTACAATGAGCCAAACACAAAGAGTTTCAAAACTCCATCTTTATTTTTAGTAGCTCACAATTCTACAAATAATGTGTAATTCAGAGGCACTTGGTGACTGGGCCGCTCACTCTCTGGAATCTGCTGGCATGATGAGCAAAGTGGGGGTGGGGGGAGGAAGTGAATCACTGCTGTATAGGCATGGAGGTTGTACACTGCTTGCAGTTGTACATGGCGTTTGTAATTTCTGGTAGCAGTCAGGTGGAAACCCATCATCCATGGTTAGGAGCATCTAAGCCAATGACCCACCCAGGCTGGGTGGTCTGTCATCAGCAGTGTTTTTGGAGAACTGTGGACCTATTTAGTTTGTTATCCACACAGCACCGGCCCAGTTGTAGCAGAGAGTGAATAATCCAAGCAGGAGTTTATTGCCACAAAGAAACAGAAACCACAATTAAGCATCCAGGCTGTCCATTTTCAACCCGAGTAATGGGTGCCCGAGTGGGCTGTGTTACTGACAGTGGGAAGGACTCAGAGCAGTTTGTCCGGCAGCGTGAAAGAGGAAAGAATCCCAGGAAATGGCACGTGGCGCAAGAAATGCAGGTCAGACTGAAATATTTACACAAGATTCCAGGAGGAAAAATAAAGATGAAAGGAGGATCACAGAAGATTCTCTTTTCAAAACACATTATTTACATTTTAGGATTATTTAACAAGCCTCGTTCATGCCTCCTTCAAACGGCAAGCGGTGTAAGCACTATTAGTGTGGAGCGACTCAAACAAGCAAGGAGCAAAGGATCCTGTTTTGCCACGGTAAGACATAGCATCATTGCTTAAGAGAAGAAGGAAAAATGAGAGTGAAGGACGTACAGATGTTTCCAGTGTTCCACAGGCTCCAAACGCCTCGTCACACGGATCTGAGAGCAAAGCACTACAGGAAAGCTGCACCCGGCACTGATTGTATGGATACAAACCCAAGAATTGTGGCATTTGTTAGGAGGGTCCAGAGTTAGGAGGCCACTAACACTTGCTGATTGACATGTGATAACAATGGCAGAAATTGGTGAAACCACCGTTTAGTCTCCAGACATTTTGGTTGAATAACCCGTTGCCTCTGCAGTCACCTCGGCTTTGTCACGTGGTGAATCCTCAGGCGCAAACACTCTTTGACATTGTTCACCATTCACCACTTTATACTCAAATTTTCAACCAGTATTCAGGGAAGAGGAGACCAGAGGGGACAATTCAAAGCCCATAAATACTGAGTTGCAAATATACATAAACCAAATTTAACGTATGGTCTAAGCACAGTCTCATTTTTGTTGCATGAATTTGGTTCCAATGCACTGTGGCACCCAGTAGTCTAACCAATAACTATTGTGTGGACCTACAGTGTTCTGTTGACAGGGTATAAAAATAATGAAGACACACAGAAGAGAAGACAAAAAAAGCTTTCTGTTACACTTAAGAAATAAAATTCCGGGGAAGAACAAAGCATAAAGGTAATAGTGATAATCTATAAAAAATAAGAGGTTGTGTTTTAATGTTTGTTGCCTTACAAAGACACCTGTGATAATGAACACACAGAACCCGGCTGTTGAAGGTATAGAAAAATGCAGAAATGGAACTCATCGTTGTGTGCTGGCTGTGCTTGTCGCCGTTTGTCGGACTGGGGGCGAGAGACGCTGGCTTCTGTGTTTAAAGCCTAAACAGAGAGATAATACCGTGGTCTTGCCACTGGAGCACCAAGACGTCTCTACTTCCCGTAGAACTTCTTGTTCAGGAGAAAGATTAGCAGGTTCACGTTGACTTTTGCCTTGTTGAACATTTTCATCACAGCGACGCCTTCGTACTGGAGCTGAAGCAGGTCCTGCAGTGGCGGGCGGGGGAAGAGGAGATAGAAATAATGTTTAAAGAATTAACCAAAACAAAAGGCTTCGGGAATATGGGACCCACTTGTTCGCCACGTCTCTAGGGCTGCCTTTCCAGCTGTAACCCTGCAGCGTGTGAGGAATGGGTGATATGTGCTCCCCCTCACCACTCTCACCTGATAGTGAAGCATGACGGAATCCATCTGCACCCCCATAAACTTTGCTTTGACTTCAAAGTCGCCCACCTCCTCAGTCGGACAGATGTCAAAGATGACATTTTTAAACCTAGAGACAAAGACACAGCTTTCAGCTTCCACTTTAACTGAACGTGCAGCATCATCAGTACAGGCGGAAATAGGCCATTCATCCCAACTAGTCCATGTCGGTGTTGTGCATGAGCCTCAACCTCTTCTGTTCTCCTCTCCCACAACCCTCTATTGCCTTCTCCCTCTTGTGTGCATTGAGTTTCCTCTCGAATACTTTTGATGCTTTTTGCTTCAACCACAGAATGTGGAACAGTGAGCTCTACATTCTCACCACCCTCTTGAGTGAAGAACATAGGAAAGTCAGGACGAGATTGTTCCTCTTTTCCCAACTCCACCCTCATGATCCAATGCCCCGCCGACACTCGGCTGCCTGGCCCCCTAACGTGTTAGTAGCACTTGCGTGTCGCCCGGACAGCGGTAACCCAGAACGAGTCTGTATCATCTGGAAAGAAGGGAAAGAAACTGGAAAGGGAAGAGAGACGTTCCCAGGTTGGTGTCCGAACGTTATATCTGGCGACTCACTGGTTGATATTCAGATCCTCAATCTCCAGGAGGACGCCCTTCTCGTACAGCCTGGATGCCGTGTATCGCTGTGCCCCTTGTTTGTTTTTCTTTCCTTTCACATCTCCCGCCTTCTTTGCTCTGAAAAGATCAAAACATGCATGAAAAACACAGCCTTTTTGCAAAGTCAAATATCCAACAAACAAAAGGAATCTTTTTTTTTGGTCAGCCGGGTGTCTGACATGTGCAGAAACCCATCACCGTTGTTTAAGAGTATCCAAACCAAACTGAGAATTCCACGCACCTCACCTACACATGGAAATCCCAGAGATAGATTGTTGGAATGGAACGCACTCTCTCCCTGGAGGGACGCATCCTGCTTACCTAATTCCGGAAAGTGTTAGGTGCAGGTTGGTTTGGCGAGAGCCAACTCGCCACAGCTCTCCTGATGCTGAGTCTACACAGTGAGTAATACAGACTAATACTGGGTTTGTTCCTCAGTCTGCACTGCACTAGCCCATCTCAGCTGGAGCAGCAGACAGGGCTAAGGTTGATCTCAGCTCCCCTTGTGTTAGAGGGGCACCAATCAGTTTGGCTTCTAGTTGCCAAACAGTGTTCCCTCCTTGAAGGTACAGGCACATTTGGGCATTAAGTGAAGGCAGGATCGGGGCTGTGATACCACCCACTCCACCCACACCATAGTCTAATGTCATGCTAACATTCACAAAGAAGAATACTGTGAAGTGAATTGACTATATTTTGTGGGCGAAGTGTGGTGGCCAATGACCAAATTATTATTATTTTTTATAAATTTATTCTGGAGAGGAGGAAGGGAGGAAAACGAGAACATTATGTAAGGCTTTGCCGCGTACCCTTTGCTGGCCAGATTGTCCATGCAGGTTTTGATGTACTGATTGTAGTAGTCGATCTGCTCCTCGAAGAAGCTGGTTTTGGAGTTGAGGCCACCATAGGTCTGCTGCAGCCGTACCAGGTCAGCTTTCCGTCTCTGCCGGTACCTCCGCTGGTTCCGGATATCCTGGGAAGAGGAAAAAGGAAGGAATAATTACATTCCTGAAAAAGGAAACGTCAACTGTCCACCCTCAATATTCCTCTCTAACTCAAATTCACCCCAACATTTTGATTATTATTATTGACTATTGGTGGTTGGCCCTTCAGCTTTTCTGCCACCACCCTCTGGGACTCCATCCCAGAATACCTCCGCCTCGCCCTCTCCCTTGCCTCCTTCAAGGCCCGACTCAAGACTTTCCTCTGAGAACATGCTTCCTTCGGCCACCCCCCCATTCTCTATCCCTCTTGATTCCACCTCAGGTGCAAACCGTTAACTGTCCAGCCTCTTGGGACGTCCTTCCAATGCTGCTGCTGTTGTAATTTGGCTACCAATCTCGGTGTTGTTTACCGCATGTTGCTGACACAGCTTAACTTCTGCGTTTGCTGACATAAAATTCTATATAAGGTTTATTTTGTTTCCAATTAATTTAATTCTAAAGCGCTTCTAGATGAAAAACGCTGCTGCCATAATTCAAAGTTGTTAAATCTCCAGGGAGCGACACTAAGCCCCAAGTACGCCCTAGGTTTCCATCACTGAGTTAAGTTGATCTCAGCGACAGTGTGGGCAGGTATGTGTGGATAACCTACGGAGATTTGCTGATGCGAGGGGCAGTGATCAATAACACTCCTGGTTCCACCATCGCGGCTGCCACATCATCCCACCTAGACCTGGGTTCGAACCCATGCTCCAAGAGGTGAGAGGGCAGTGCTTAATAAAGTGGTTTTGAACTTTCAACCAGCATGCAACACGCTCAGAATGACGGGCGACCTGTAAATTTACAGAGGGAAGCATGACGTGGGAATGGGATGGAAAATTATATAACGGTGGTAAACAAGACATACTCAGTGACTCCCTGTTTGGTACAGGATAGGCAGTCTTACTACACCACCCAGTGGCCAGGCTGAGATCTAGCAACTCTGACTGGGGTAGGGGAGGCCTCTTCACCTTGGGAGAGGAATCTCTGATTAATAAATCTGGGTTTCCAGTGACCGTGGACAAGCTAAATATAATGACACGGCGCGAGCAAACCCCGCGGTATTTCCCAATGCGAGAGGTCAGATGCCACAATGTGTGTGTTTAATGGGAATATCACCTGCACGTTCATTAGATAGCGATCAACCTGATCTGAGCTGGGACTGCGATCAGAAGTACAATCAGCAGCCAGGGTGACCCCTGGGTTTGAGAGGCGGAAAATCGGCCAAAGTTCCAGTTTCTCATGGACACCCAGAGCCCCTCCCAAGGAGCCTTCTCCATCCGAACCAACCTTGTGATCTCCCCCACACCGCAAAACTCTCCTCTCTGGAGAGACAACAAACACCCTCCCCCCCACAATCCGCAGCCCCCGCCCCTGCGCTGACCTTGGCTACGTCATTGATTAGGTCCTGGTAGCGGTTCTCAGGGTTGACTTTGCCGAGCTCCGTCAGCCTCTTCAGCTGTTGCTGGATCTTTTGCTTCTTTTCCGTCAGTGACAGGGTGTTGCTGGCGGACAGCGCCTGGTCCCGCTTCATCTTATCGGGGGTCTTGGCATCGCGGATGGCCCTGCGCTGCATGGCCCGCTGGTGGTCCATTTCCTGCCAGGACGTAACAAGACCGTCAAAGCGCTTATTGGGGACTTCGGCAGTCGCGGTTGCGCCAACACTTGATTAAAAAGCCGTCGCCCGCTAGAGGCTCAGCACAGAGCGTTAAACAAGCCCTCAAAGCTCCCGGACGCTGCTGGCTCGGCAACGTACAGCAAAGAAACAACTGATTGTGCGAGGCGTCGCAACTCACCTGGTCTGTTGTTGCGGGAGTATCGAGAATCTCCGTCAGTGTCTCGCCCGGTTGGAACCGGATCACGTCCACAATCAGCCGCTTCGTGCTGAGGAGAGCGTGAGTGTGAGAGAAAGAGAGAGAGAGAGTGCGAAGGACAGGGGGAGTAAGAGTGAGAGGAGACAGTATGAAATAGAGCGAGATGAGACAGCAGGAGAGAGCGAGCGAGGGAGATGTTGAGAAAGGAGCGAGTGAGAGAGAGAAGGGAGAGGATGAGATAGAGGGAAAGGGGAGAGGGAGTTGGGAGGAGGAAAAACATTCAGTTATTAATATCAGCCACATTCACTGCAGAGAATCAGAAATAATTATTTGAACATTTATGCTCAGCTGGGCGTGAGAGATTGGGGCTGGGGATGGAGACGGACTCCCTCTAGTGCCTCTCCCAAGTGTGTTAGCGTAAGGAGGATAATCCACCAACTATCCCGCCCTCAACTAACATCACACACACCTTTCAGCAAGGAACCTCGGGATACAGATCTGAAGCAGGGAACCCGGTCTGATTTCAAACTCCCTAACCTGGGGGGGGAAAGCTCGTTGGGGGGGTCGGGGGGGAGAGGGCGCGTTGTAAGGAATGTTAATCACACAGCAGCCTTACTTCAGTAACAGGCTCCTGGCGTTTAGTTCTGCGTTTTCATCTCCAGGGACATCAAACTTGTTGGTGAGGGTGAGAGAGACTTCTGTCTTCGCAAGCTGCTCTTTGTGTGGATCGCTTGGGCTTGCGCCTCCTTCACCTGGGGGGAGAGAGAGCGCGAGAGAGAGGAGTAAGTGCCCGTTGACTTTCCCCACACCCACTCGCTCGCCCTCACTGGGAGCTCAGAGGAAGCCGACACTGTGCGCGCTGACGCAGCTGGACTTGCCGATCAGAGACTCGATGGTGGGCACCTCCCCCAGGTCCTCCAGCAGCTCGTGAACGGGATCGTTGTGCTCCGGGGCGATGGCGTCCTGGTGATCCAGCAGCAGCTGCCGGTCAAACATACAGTGTGTTACACATTTGCCAAACAAACACGCTTGCACACTCTCATGTTACAAACACGTTTGCACACTCGCCCAACACAAACGGGCTTATACACTCGCATGTTACAAACACACTTACACACTTGGCCGTCACAGACATGGTTACACACTCGCCTGTCACAAATACGATGACACACTCGCCTGTCACAAACACGATTACACACTCCCGTCACAAACAGTTACACATTCACCCATCACAAACACAGTTGCACACCTGCCTATCACAAACATGGTTACAAATTTGCCCAGATACACACTTGCACCAGTAACGTGTTTACACACTTTCCGACAGAAATGACTTCATAAGCTGCGCTGCTGAAATGACTGAATAAGGAATATTTTTCTATTCCTGACAATCTCCCCCGTGGGTGGTCCCAAAGGGCCCACCTGAAGTGCGTCTGAATCCACTTCCCATCCACTTCCCTGTGAGGCTCACAACACAAAGCTCTCAGTCTGACATTAAATGAACCTCAAACAGAACGGCCGGTGTGGGAAATGGAGCAGGCGGGGAATCAGAACGGCCACAATGTAATGGGCCATTCACTAGTCAGCACACTGAAGGGACCTTGATGTGCTGTGCTCCGTCACCCAAAGCTGTTCTCACCGGAGAAAGCTAAACCATGAGGAATCCCAGAGCTCGAGGCCTTAGTCCCAGAGCTGTGAGCACAATCGCTGTGACCGACCGAGCCTCTCCTCACCGTATGCGTGTTGATGATTTCGCTGATGGATATGTAAATCACCGGCTTGGTGAGCGTCACCAGGTCCGAGTATTCGTCAACGTTGAAGCGATCCTCCAGCTCGGGGACCTCACAGGCGGTCTGGAAAAAACGCCTGGAGGGAAAATAACCGTTCTGTTAACACTGAAGACTGTAAAGTGCTGTCTATCTGCATCTAGCGTGTTCACACAGTCCCATATCCGCACTCCAGCTCAGCTATGGAAGTGAAGTTAGCCTGCAGCGTTGGCGAAATGTTATTTGCGCGCGTGTGTATGATTTAACCAGACTAGAGAGAACTGATCCAGGATTAGAGAGACAGTTAGCAAGGAGAGAGAGTGATGCGCAGACAGGACATTTATCCGCACTGTTTTCATAACCTCAAATGGGTCGGGTCCTAATTAGTGTGGATATTGGGCTCGTTACTGTATCCACGTCTCAGAGAGAGAATGGAAGTCACGGGTATAATATCAAACGCTCTCAGAGCTGAGCTGTATGGGTTACTGCATAGAGATACTGAGGCTTTCAGACCCTCCACTCCTTCTGCCCTCCTCACACAGCAGTGAAAACGGTGGTGATATTAGATGAAGAATAGGCACTCAGGCAAGATAGCAGAGGGTGTCTGTTGACTGTTCCCCACATGAATCTATGCCTTCAGGTGAGAAATGAGCATGATTCAAAGCAAAGACGAATATTCCTCTGCCCCCCACCAACCCAGTCTTTAAACACAAGCACGCAGCCACACACGATTCACACACAGGCAGTACCTGAACTTCTGATAGGCCTGAGAGAGGTATTCATTGATGGAGCTGAGATGCGAGTTCTCTTTGTCAAACATCTTGTTGGCAGCAGCGTGCTGTAAGACCTTGGCGATGGATCCCAGGTTCCTCCTCTGATCTGTGGTCAGGCCACCGCCTGCTGAAATGTCGATGATGTCAAAGGCGTCGGGGGCCACAATGGCTGGGTTCATGTAGCGATAATACAGCAGGTTTCCAATAATCTGAAAGAATCACATGAGGGTCAGGACTCCTTTCACACTCTCCCAGCTCCAAACTGGAGCTAAAATCAATCTCACAGTAATGCAGAAAGGATTCTGCAGCAATATGGGTTATGTTTGGAGTTGTAGAAATTAGAGTACAGGAAGAATAGCCACCCGTCATTGGGTTTAAACTGTCCACAGGAGCTAACCACGGCAAGAACCAATTCCCTGCTCTTTCCCCTAGCTTTATCCTGCGAATTCTTCCTCTTCAAATGTTTATCCTATTCCCTTCTCAGCCTCAATGGCCTGTTGGGTTAACACATTCCATGTTCTGCTAAGTGTCTACGTGAAAAGATTAGCAATCCTGATGATGAGTCACTTATGTGGAGTCACACATGAGGAATGATCGCTTGGGTCAAATACTGGAGATAGGAATTGGGACCAGACCAAGCTAGTGGGAACACTCCTGTAATATAATAATAATTGTTGCATTTGATATACAGCCTTATCACATCATTGGGACATCTCAAAGCGCTTCACAGAATACATTGTAAAGTGGATTGACTGTGTATTTTGTGGGCGAAAGTTTATTATTTTAAAATGTATTATTTGAAAGATTATTATTCACCCTTAATGATTGATCTATTCAAACTTCCCCTTAACTTCAATCGTAATCTATTATAATCAAAGAATTCAGTTCACTTAGCCCTATCTTTGAACAGACAGAACTGACAGAATTTAGAAAGAAATGTTACTTCAAAGGACATTCCTACAATAGTTCTCAAAGAGACAGGTTGCAATTGCACACTGGCCTTAGCCAGTAAAAACTCATGTTAGTCACACTTAGATTCACCTGAGAAGAAAGCAGAATTAAAGCTACTGTATGCCTGGCAGGTATAGAATGAAGCATTTGGTTCCCTTGCACCCGGGTAAAATCAGCACAGTTCATCCACTGATAAGAGAGAGGGAGAGAAGTCTGGAGCCTTTGAAGAGAGAAGAGAGAAGATGCTGGGTTCAGACAGAGCGACACAGAAAGCAGAAACACTGAAAGTATTGCAGGGAAATGCATCACAGCAGCTACTGAGAAGCAAACATTCCTGTCAGGTTAGCCAGGTGTCTGCGAGGTGCAAACAAAGGGGATGACTCAACTAGCCAAGGTCCAGGACCAAAGCTAGACTGCAGCTAGCCAGGTGTCTGACCCCAGTTAGCTACATGTCTGGCTAACGCTGGATCCTGCTAGCCGAGGGCCACCTCCAACAAGCCAAGGCCGGACCCTAGCTCGCCAACACGCAGGCCACAGCTAGCCACGGGCAGTAACGGATCTGTGTGGATACAGCAAATGTGTCCCCCAGTAACAACACAGTTCAGGCCATCTCACCAGCCCATTCAGACTCTTCAAATATCTTGCGGTTGTAGCCTTAGGCCATTATTCCCTTAAGATCAGGCAGAATTTTTAGAAAGTTGTTAATTTAGATTTAAAGTTTGAACTTAATTTCTTTGCAGTTCTTAAGAAGAAACCGTGTTCCAAATTGACCAAGGATTATCCAATACAATCTCAATTTTTTTTAAAAACAAAAGGCACAAAAAACTGTGAGGAATTGGGGGCCTCTGGGTTCACTCTGGATGCCAAGTCATTGCAGCTTGAAGGAGTGTTTACTGCCTTGCTTAAATCCACCGTCACTCCAATTAGCCTTGCTGCACCTTAAAATCTAAACTGCTGCTCCCAATCCTTTGACTAAACTGAAATGAAAGGTGTGATGATGGTTTGGAGCAGCTCTTACCTTGAGGAGCTCGTCATCTGTCGCGTCTGGGAACTTCTCGTGCAGGGAGTCCTTGAGCACCTTGGCGATGAACCTCATGCCATAGCTACAAACGGGAGAGAGGGAATGAGAGAGGGAATGAGAGAGGGAGAAAAACAGACAAACGGATGTGACGGCGAGCTGATGGGATACGCGAACTTGAACGGCAATGCTTCCCCGCAATCATCAAGATATCACAGTCCTGATGGCAGTCAGTCAGCGTTCCAGGCTTTGACTGGAATGATTTGAAGAAGTACACAATGCTCATAACTTACCACGGTCAAAATTGTGGTACAGTGGAAGTCACTTAAACCGGACGCAACAGGTGGGGTGGGGGGGGGGGGCGGCATTTTATCCGGTTAAAGCAACATCTGGTGCCCGGCTTAAGAGGCTTCCACTGTATTTCTAAGCATATTCTGTTCCTTAAATAAGGAATGGGGTTAAATGTGTTTTGAAATATCACTCTCCCCTGACTTCTGAATAATGGTTTCGCTCAAATTTGGCTGAAAAGTCCCGTAATCCGACGTCCTAAGCGAAAGCGTTCACTCCAGCACCCGAGAACGAACTTGCCTCTTGCGGCAAGATCGAGAGTTTCAATGAGTGAGTGAGTGAGTGAGTGCTCGCTCTGCAGGCCAAGGTAGGGAATGCCAACACTCACGGGATTTTATCCACCGACACGATGATGGAGGAGAGGAACTTGTCTGTCACTCCCTTCATGTTCTTGATGGAGGTATCGAGCCGTGTGCGCACCTCTTCGTGGCTCAGGGCCTGCTCTGGAGTCACGTCGTACGGCAGTTTGCTGCAAGCAGGAAAATCAGAGACAACCCCACGTCAATTACACACCATTAAAGAAGAGGCCATTTTATAGATCCAACATGTCTCCCAAACACACTCGCTCACTTTTGTACTTCATCTATCCTAAGAGCAGCTAACTAGATCTCAGGATGTCCTCCCGACATGAAACTCTCTATTCAAATGTAAATTTTGTATTATATTGTAATAGGGATTGAAGCTGCTTCTTTCCTGCTCTGCTCTGCGAGGCTCAGCTACACACTGGAAGGCAAATTTACCAACTTATTGGACTATTTCTGCACTCCCCTGGGTTCCGTTCTCTCCCCCGCTCTCCCATACCTGGCCTTACCTGGCTTCTCCTGTTTGTGACTCCATCTGGTTGACCCAGGATTTGTAGATATCGACTGGGTCTGTTTTAATGTTGAGGGATTTCTCCTCAATGATCTCCTTCACCACAGGAGCCAGCATCTGGCGCAGTGCATTCTGGCCCCGGGCACCCCGGTTAAAGCTCACTACCATCTTGATGACGGTTGGGTTGCCGGTGACGATCTCCTGGACTTGATCCACCTTCGATCTGGGAAAAACGGAAGAGCCCGTCAGTCAGTATTTCCCGTTTCCTGTTAAGTGTGATTAGCACCGAAGGGAGATGGCGCTTTTGCGTCTATTGCAATCTATAATTTGAGTTCATCTCCCCTCACATCAACATAGCTCTAGTCCAAGCTTTTTCTTCTGTGTCTGTGGGTGGTAACTCAGCCAAGCCCAGTGCAAATACAAATTATTTCATGCACTCCCAGCCCAGTCACTGTTCAGGTTCCCGAGATCATTCCTCAAGTTCAAACGTTAGCCTGATCTCACTTGACAAACATTTACCAACAGAACTGGAACCCTGGCTTAGCCCTGAGGCTGATTGCACAGGCTCTGTCATCGCCTCAACCGAGATCAGGGATCAAAGCTGCTTCTTTCCTGCTCTGCTCTGTGGGGCTCAGCTATGCACTGGATTGTGAATTTACCAAGTGAGCCATTGAGGAAGCTCAGTCTTATCCTATTGTTAACCTACGACACAGGACACCCTGTGCAAGGAAGGATGGATGTTCAGGGCCAGGCTGACGTTTGAACTTGAGGAATGATCTCAGGAACCTGAACAGTGACTGGGCTGGGAGTGCATGAAAGAATTTGTATTTAATACAGTGCCGCCTATAACAATAAAATGCCTCAAAGTGCTTTACGGTAACCATGGTGACCCTTTTTTGTGGGCAAATGTGACAGCCAGTTTTGTGCACATCAAAGATCCACAAAACAGCTATGAAGTGAATGATCAATTCATCTGGTTGATTAGCAATGGGAGAAACCCTGTTCTCTTTTCCAACAGTGTCACACAATCTTTAAGAAGAACAGGTAAACAGGCCCTTGGTGTAAGATCTCATGTGAAAGCCAGGTCCTCTGACAGTTCAGTGTTTCCCCCTGTCACTGAGCTGGAGCTTTGTCTTGAGTGCGGTACGTACTTGATCTCTTCCTGCAGTGCCGTCTTAAAGAGCTTGAGCAAGAGGTACTCCTCTCTCTGGTTGGAGGCGTAGTTATACAGCGTGAAGATGACAGAGTCCATGAACTTGGTGGATCTGTTTTGCGGCATCTGGAAGATCAGCTTGGCCAGGTAGGTCGGGTTGGTCTGAAAAGAATGTCCGTTTATGTTTAGATTTAAATTTATTACAGAAGATTAAACATTAAGGCAGCAAAAACGCTGAAGTATGGATGGACCTGAGCCTGTTGATTGCTCTCGCTGCTGATGTGGGTGCAGTTAGTAACCCTGACGAGCAGGTGACCCGCAAACAACGACGACGACAAATTGCATTCATGTACCGCCTTTCACATCGGGGAGGTCGTCCCATAGTGCTGCTCAATGAAGGATTAAGTATCCCACACAGTAACACCCAACCCTAGGGACAGGAGGAAGCCATTCAGCCCATTAAGAGCATGTATTAGAACATTTCAGATCTGCTCTTTCCATTTGCTCGCCTTTTCCCCACATCCCTTAATACCCTTACTTCCCAAGTATTTAGCCATCTGCCTTTTAAACACACTAAAAGATTCGGCCTCTGGAGCAATGAGGTCCAATTTGTGACAACCCTCCGTGGGGAATAAACTGCTTTCTGAACTCACTTCTAGTTCTAACTAAGAGCATGATCCTGTGTTTTGGATCCCTCTACCAGAGGTGTCCCTGTCTGGATCGTCAATTCCTTTTGTTATTTTAAATATCTCAACCAGATCACCCATTAACCTCCTTAACTCTGGGGAATATAATCCCAAGATTCCCAGTCACTCATTACAGCAGAGAGGGTGGGAGAGGGAAGGCTGTCACCTGGAGGAGGTAGAAGAGATTCTGGTAAGCCTCCAGCTTCTTGCGTTTCTCTTTGCTCAGTGCCTTCAGGCCTCCCTTTTGCTTGTTCATCATCATCATGTCAGACAGCTGCCCCTTGTTCTTCTTGGTCAGTTTCTTGCTGTGTGAAACCACGTCCTGGAGGAGATGGGGAGACACGAGTGAGTGTTACCCCCGTCCTGAGCCCAGAATCATCCCCACGTCTCCCAACAGTGCGACATTCCCGGATTCCCCGCACTGTGACATTCCCAGATTCCCTGTGCTGTGTTATTTCCAGATTCCTTTGCGTGTGACAAACTGGATTCCCTGTGCTGTGACATTCCCAGGTTCCCGTTACCTGCAGTGTGATCTTGTTTTTGACCAGGAGGCCGATCTTGATGTCCATGAGGTTCAGGTCGTTTTCCAGGTGCTGGTTGGAGCGGATCAGCGTGACCACCTCCTCCCTCATCCGCATCAGCTCCATCTCCTCCTGGAAATCCTGGTCACTCTGATCCAACAGGTGGACAAACTTCCTGACCACGGCCATGGGGGGCTGCTCAGCGCTGACTGTCAGAGGGGGAAGCGGAGCAGACAGTGAGGAACTGCACAGGGAGAGAAGCTGAGCCGTCCTCAACTGCAACGCAGTCACTGAACCACAGACCAACAACAACAACCAATTACATTCATACAGGGCCTTTCACGTCAGAACAACGGTTCAAGGTGCTGGACAGTTAAGGGTTTGCACCCGAGCTGAGGTTGGAATCAAGAGGGGTGGAGGGTAGAGGGGCCCCGGGATCTGTTACTGTGAAGCCCTCTGAGACACCGTCCGGCATGGAGGGCGCTATATAAACCCAAGTTGTTGTTGTTGTAGATATTTTGAATATAATGTAAATCTACTTTACAAAGAGCTTTGAGACGTCTTAACAATGTGATAAGGCACTATTGTCAAACGCAAGGATTATTATTATTATTAGAGGGTGTTTGGAGTGGGAGTGGGACTGACCAGGCCTGTTATTTCACCACCGCTGTGTATATCTTGATAACATGAGGGTAGCAACTCTGCTCGATTCCCTCCCTCCTTAACTGAATGGCACTCGGGGCAATTGTAGCAGTGACAGCCCACCCCCCCCACCCCCAGCTGAGATCAGATCACTCAGTAGAAAGTGAATTGAACCCTGAGACCTGCCGTCTGTGTGAATCAACCTCTGACTGAATTAAGTCACAGAGTCGCTGAATGTTTGTCCCACACTCACTGAGGGTTTTGTAGTCATCTCTGGCTTTGTTTGCTCGGATGAAAGCCTGTATCTTAACGATATCATTGACCTGTAAAGGAAAACACATAACTGTTAAAAATATCCAGGGCAATGAGTGGAAGGAAGGTTGTAGCAGAATCACTGTGACAGAAGGTAAAAACTTACATGGTCTTTGAAGTACTTGAGCCGATCGCGATATCTCTTCCTTGCCTGGTGCATTCTCACCATCGACTGAATCTGTATCAAGAGAGGATGGTTCAGACGTGGGTGGGGGGGAAATATCCTGGCACATACTGGGATATTTCCTTGCATTGATCTACTGAAGAGGAATCTAGGTGCTGGCTACATTGGAACAGGAAGGTTCTTTGATTCGAATCGTTTGATAAGACAGTTGAGGGGAGAAATAAGCATCTTTCAAAATGTAAGTGAAAGGCTGCCTCACACCTCAGTATATTTCTGCTGAGGCAAGAGACTGGAAGAGACCAGGGCTCGGCTGGGCTACAACACCACAACTCTAGGCCCAGCGTGGCCGAGGTGTGAACACAACACAGGAGGTTCCCTAGCTTTTTACTCATAACACATCTGGGATATACACGTGATTTACCTACAAGCAATGCTACTGGAAACTACACTGTACGTCACACTGCCTGGAAGGTATGTCACAGGTTACGTCGCACATAACACTAACATGACTGAGTTTTGCGTCCCTCCAGGGAGTGTGCGCATTTCCTTCCAAGAATCTATCTCTGGAATTTCCATGTGTAGGTGGGAATGCATGGAATTCTCAGCTTAGTTAGGATACTCTTAAGTACGGTGACGGGTTTTTGCATATGTCAGACACTCGGCTGACCAAAAAAAAAAGACAAAGTTGCATGTTACATTACACATAACACCACTGACAGCAACATTACACATACACACTATTATGCATTATTTTACCTTCACTACAGACTCTCCATTGTCTTTCAGGTATTGCATTCGATTTTTATACGTCTTCTTCTGCTTATAACCTCTCCAGTTGGACTGTGGAAGAGAGAAGACCATGTGTAACCTCATGCAATGAATTATTGGGAGTTTGGGCTCTGCTTCTTTTTGCTCCATCTCTCTAAAACCCTCGCCCCCAACCCCCCATCATCCCCCATTCAGTAGTGCTCGTCACTCAGGATCATGGTGCTCTCGTCTAGTTCCCTGGGCTGGTTGTCCGTCGCACTTGGAAACCCATCTCAGCCGGTTTGAGCGATCACTGTGGAGTTTGGCCGGTTCCTACCTGGATGCAGACGATAGCCGGCTGCTGTTTCTTGAGGAACTGCAGGCGGTTGGACAGATCCCTCCGCACCAGGTAACCCCTGCACCTCGCCTGCAGCTTCGCAATCAGGCTCTCGTTGGCCATCCATAGCTGCTCTCGGTTATAGGCAGCGGTCACTCCGGAGATGGTCGACTGAGGGGCAAGAAGTGAGAGCCGACTGGTTACTACCACTGAGAGAGAAGCTCACAAAAGAGGAGCTGAGGTCCAGATCTGGGGGCAGCGTTGCACCCGAACTGTGGGCTCCCCGTCCTCCATACCTGGATTTCCTCCTTACTCAGCTGTGTGTTGTTCTGGACGAAGTCCGCTGGCTCTTCCCAGGTGCCCTCCTTTGTGCTCAGGTTGAAGTAGTAGTGATAGCCTCCCTTTACCCAGTGCTTGACCCAATCACTGCCATTGTCACCTGCAGATCAAAGGGTCAGAGAACCAGGTTGATCGCAGGTCAGTGTTTGTAATCCGCGGAGGAACTGAGTCATTCAGAGAGAGTGAGAGCCGTGCTGTGATGTCTTCAGTGAAGCTGCACCAACAGACACACGTAGGCACAAAATACACACGTCTACACCTACTCGTGCATACAGGCAAACACACACACATACGCAAACACACACAGAAAGACATATTCAAAAACAGGAACTCACAAATATCCAGTTTCAGTCACTTCTAATAAAACGTACACAGATGGGCACACAAACACATGCCGGCAAAAGCAAAATGACACATACTTGTGTAAAAAGCACAGAAAAAGCATGACAATGCCTGTACGATCTCACTCACACCCTGTCACGAGCAAGGTTAAGCGTATAGATAACATCGCTGTGCAGTACAAACACCTCACGCACCCTCTGTCCTTTTGAGCTGCTTGGCTTCAGTCAGCTCCTGTTGGTAGGTATCGTCGCACTCAGAGGTCACTCCGTACAGGCCGACATCGGGAGAACGCAGAGCGCTCAGTGTCTGGGCTGTGTCACCACAATCCACCGCTTCATTGATGTGCAGCAGCCCCTGTGAAACTGAAAGAGGAAACAAAGGAATTTCCTTGTGACACAAAACACAAAAGAGGGGCAGGTACAGTGAAAGGACATTAGAAAGTCACCTCTGGAGCAGTGACCTCCTGATCTCCTATGTATACTTTCAATATCAATCACTCATATTCAGCCCCCACAGCCCCGTCACACACTCACTGGCTAAGTGTAATGAGTTAGTTGATCAGGAGCAGGAAGGGTGTGTGGTTGGCTACTGTTAGCTTCAGCGCTTCTGTTGCCTTTGCTGCGTTCTCCGGCCCTTTTCTCCTTCCCATGCCCTTTGCTCTTCCAAATCGGGTCAACTGCTTATAATAATAATAATCCTTGCATTTGATATAGCGCTTTTCACGTCGGGAGGACGTCCCAAAGCGCTTCACAGAACACACTGAAAAGTGAATTGACTGTATATTTGTGGGCGAACGCGGCAGCCAATTGCGCACAGCAATGTCCCACAAACAGTTGTAGATTGAAAATGACCAATTTATTATTGTTTTGGGTTTTGGAGGGATTATTATTAGGCTCTGTGTGGAGTAAGGAAACTTGCCCAAGGTTTCGCCCTCTGCCTGGAATTGAACTCAGATCTCTCGCTTGCAAAGCGAGTGCTCTAACCACTGAGCTACAGGACTCCACAAATTATTATTATTATTATTATAACTGCTTGTTCCTCGCTCCCTCTGTTCCACCGTTGGTGGCCGAGGATTCATCCACTGCAACGTTGCTCTCTGGAACTCTCCCCACCCCCAACCCCAAATTCCCTTCTCCTTGCACCTTCTCTCTCTCCGCCTTCAAAACCCTCTTTGTACTAAAATAATAAACCTTGCATTTGATATAGCGCCTCATCGTGTTGTTGAGCCATCTCAAAGCGCTTCACAGAATATTTTGTGAAATGGATTGACTGCGTATTTTTAGTGGGTGAAACGCGGCAGCCGATTGTGCACAGCAGTGTCCCACAAACATGCATTGAGTGACCCACGACTTGGATCACGTTTTGTAGGTGGCCATTTAAAAAAAAACATATTCCTTTGACCACGTCTTTTGACTTCTCCCCAACATCCCTGCACCCACCTCCCCACCACACCACCCCGCTTTCCTGTCTTCTTGGAGATCATCATCATCTTTGGGACTTTGATCCGATGTGAAAGATGCTACATAAGGGCAAATTGTTGTTCTGCTGCCCTGCTGAGATGAGTAAAGTCAACACTGGACCGGGAGCAGGACTGTCCTGCTCTGTGCCCACATTGGGTGCTGCTCTTAGGGCAGGTATCGCAAGCCTTTAACAGTTCTGCCGTTGCTGTTGATCACTCACATTTGGCAGCTTCCTGTGTCTCCCGGTTGGATTTCCAGATGGTGTCCTGGATCTCATCGAGCCAGAGCACAGCAGAGTCATCCATCATCTCCTGCAGAAAGACACAGACATCAGCGGCCAAGAGTGGTGGGGGGTGGGGTCAGACCCACTGATCAGTGGAGTAACGCAACCCTTTTTAATTAAAGGGGAAATAAGTTAGGATAAAAACTCTATGCCAGGTAAAAACACAAATCCGTTATCGTCCTTCTGGTAATCAGCTCCCAGGGAAGAGAATTGATGTAGACAGTCTAAATGGTGGCCAGGGGACAAGTTAGATAGAGAAGGGAGTGAGGAACAGGGTTAGGGTGAGACGGTTTAAAAACAAAAAGGATTTAATGTCTTGTTCCTACGTTCTGGGTAAATCTCTGGCTTGTCACTGGAAGAGCTAACTAGGGGGAAGGAAGAGGCTTTTTCAGGCAGGGAGGATATTAGAAACCAGAATTGCTTTGTCACAGATAATACTGCGGTTGAGACCATGATGGCATTTAAAAGGGAATTGGATGAGTGTTCAAAGAGAAACAATTTGAAAGTTGTGGGGAAAGTGCAGGAAATTGGGATCTAAGCAGTTTGCTCCAGTGGTGGAGATGACACTCTCTTTCGGTCAGTGTAACAAATGGCCTCCTCCTGTGCTTTATTTAATAATAATAATCCTTGCATTTCATATAGCGCCTTACCACATTGGAAGGATGTCTCAAAAGAACTTCACAGGATTTAGGTGTAAAATGGAGTGACTTTGTGTATTTTGTGGGTGAAACACGGCAGCCAATTGCACACAGCAATGACCCACAAACAGCCATGAAACGAGTGACCAATTTTATTTGGGGGGTGGGGGGGGGATTGTTGGCCAGGACGCCAGGAGAAAACACCCCTCTCTTTCGAACGGTGCCATGGAGACTTTAGCGTCCTCCTGAACAGGCAGACGGACAGGACCGCGTGGCTACATCACACAGACCAGGTCTAACACATTCACCAGCAGAGGGAGCCGCGGCACCTCTCTCTGACACACCGAGAATGCTGGGCTGTGTGTGTGCGTGGCCTCACCCGCTGTGCACACACATACACACAGGACCTTGTGTTGCACTCTCAAAGGGATACAGATCAGAAGCAGCCGCTCCCTGTGCGCAGGCAGAGCCTCACATGTGAGGCAGGTTCAGACAAAGCAGCTTCTCTTCCACACAGCCCGATGCCTCACTATCCTTCCTTTATTTTTTGTTTGGGGGGGGGGGGGTCTGACACCTGCGGAAACCCATCACCGTTGCTTAAGAGTATCCAAACCAAGCTGAGAATTCGATGCATTCCCACCTACACATGGAAATTCCAGCGAGAGATTGTTGGAATGGAATGTTGTTTTATGTCCCGCACCATTCTGCTACAAAATAGACAGTCACTACACTTAACAGTAAATACTGTGAAGGGCTTTGAGACGTCTTTCCGACGTGGAAGGTGCTGTACCAAACACATGGATTATTATTAGTTATTCCATGTGTCCTGGGTGTGGGAAACGCATCATTAAAATAATGAAAGCCTTCTGCATTTTAGAAAACATATTTGAAAACAAAACTGTCCTGTTAAACTTTGTTTCCCTTGCGCTCCCCGGGTTTAGGGGGGATAGTTTCACGGGCTCCCTCCGGGAACTCATCACAAGTGGCCACGGTCAATCCACTTTGCAATGCATTCTGTGAAACGCTTTGAGGCGTCTCAACGACATGATAAAAAGTGCTATATCAAATGCGAGGATTATTATTTATTAATTATTATTATACATAAACACAGTTATGCCCAGAGGCATGTGTGCGTGCAGTCACTTCACTGAGCTCCCTGTGTCCTTGTGGCCCCAACTTAGAATAGAAACAGGAAGCATCGTCGATCGTTCGTTGGATTCAGTCGCACCTTGTAACCTACTGAATATCCCAGAAGGTCAGAGAGCTGTGGAGGAGTGGCTGCCTCTGTCACACACTATGCGATTTGCCTGAACTAAACAGACAAGGTTGTTTGGGGGATGGGGCAGCCACCGGCACTCGCCCTGTGCTGAAGGCTTCTTTGTGTGCACTGGGCGTTGCTGTGTTGATCCAGGAGCCTCTGGCAGCAACTGCTCTCTAAGCCTTGATTGTTCCAACTCCAACCGAGCCAGACCCAGCCACTCCCCACACTGACGGAGACGTGTTCAAAAAGAGACAAGCAACCAGGCAGACAGCACAGGCTCGGCCCCCGCACCCCCCACCCCCTCAACACCATAGTAATAATCCTCGCATTTGAATTAATGCCTCACCGTGTCATTGAGACGTCTCAAAGCCCCTCACAGAAAATATTGTGAAGTAGATTGACTGTATTTTGTGACGAAACACAGCAGCCAATTGCGCACAGCAGTGTTCCACAACCAGTTGTGGACTGGGTGACCAAATTTTGTGAGGGACTATTACCCCCAAAAAGCGATCGGGCAATCGACTAGTAACCGGGTTCCTGCTTGCTGCTTGGTAAACAGAGGCGCGTGGAGTAAGGAAACTTGTCTAAGGTTTTGCCCTGCCCCATAATCAAACCCCAGTCCTCTTGCTTGTGAGGCGAATAGCTAACCACTACTCTATGGGATTTCACGGCCCAAGCCCCCACCCTCAACAGGAGCTACACCAACTGGCACTTCCCTGCATTGCAGGATCTTCAACGTTTCCCTCGAATGGACAGATGGGACCTTGGTTTACTGTCAACTGATGGACGGCAGCTCTGACAATACCGTGTCTGCCTGCACTGTGAGCTATCTAGCTTTCTTTCTCCACAATCCACCGTAAAATCAATGACATAGCAAAGATACTCAGAGAGAGGTGGTTGGGCATTATTGGAGGCTATCATCTGTGGGAAACGGGTGGGGGTGGACTCCGAGTGTGGTGGTGGGAGACGCCATGGGAAATTACTCAGGAAGCCCCATCTGAACCTCACATCAGTAACTTTAAAGCTCCAAGACTTTACACCATGTGAAAGGTGCTGTATAAATGCAAGTGGTTGTCAGTGAAGGTCAGCGGGAAATAACTGCAGACCTGATTCTGTCCTCACCCAACATCCCAGCGAGCACCTTTCGGGAGTTGAGAGAGAGAGAGTGAGAGAGTTTAAACAGCCATGAATCCAAAGGTTAATGAATGTCGTAGTGGAATGAGATAGGAGGAAATGGCTCTTCAGCTGAGATAGCACAGACAGAACCGGTCTGGCGAGATTCCAGCCCCTGCTACTCACTGGGCTGGTCATGGATTAAACTCTAACAGTCGATTTAATGAGTTAGTGGAGAGGAGGGCCATAAATGGAAGTTCTCTCTCTCTCTCTCTCTATCTTTGCACAGAGTCATTTATTCCTGAATATACACTTTATTTTTCTGAATGACTGGAGTTTTCTAAAGTTGGAAATTCTCTTTCCAGTGTGGCTGCCCTGCAGGGAAATTCCAGACACTGGAAGGATTATCTGGTTCACTGGCCAAGCCAAGTGTAAGTGCAGCCTTGTTAACCCTTTTATTCCTGAAGCCCAGTCCCCATTTTGTATTAATGCCTGGATAATAATAATAATTATGGGCCGAAGGTTGGCCACCCCCGCACTAGATAGTGAACCAGGCTAATTTTCCTTTCCTCCCTCATTAGTTAATTATGATCATTCTTGTGTTTGATATAGCACCTTTGAAGCACTCAAAAGGATGGGTTAAAGCACTTTACAGGATCTACGGTGAAGTGAAGTGACTATTTATTTTGTAGGTGAATCCTGCAAATTGATTGCAGCATTCATCAACAAAATAGGTCGCATGGGGCTGTCCCACAAACTGCCATGAAGTGAATGATAATAATAATCATCATAATAATACATTTGGTATAGACTTATCACATCATTAAGATGTCTCAAAGCGTTTCACAGAATTTGACTGTGCAGTGTTGTGACTGACTGTGTGTTTCTAGGCAATGATAATTTTATCCGGGGGAATTGCTGTCCAGAACACCCTTCTCTTTTTGAACACCCCAATGGGATCTTTAAAGTCCACCTGAACAAGCAGTCAGGACCTTGGTTTAACATCTGGTCTGATGATGGCACCTCCATCAGTGCACCGCTCTCCTAGCATTGCACTGGAGCATCAGCGTAGCCTTTGAGTTAAAAGTCCTGATGTGAGGTTTGAACCCACAGCCAGAGACTCGGAGGCGAGAGTCCTACTGACAGAGCCAGACTGAGTTTAAGAAATGGGAAAAGGAGTAAAACAGCGAGCTCAGCAAATGCCAGATCCCAATGCACGTCTCAACGTGATCAGAGCTGCTCGCTCGGCTCAGTTCGTGACATGACTCTTGGGGCTGAGTCGTGCTAGTGTGTGACGAGGCCTCTTTACCTGCGCTTTCTCTCGCTTGGCCCGGATCAGAGTTTCCTGGTAATGCTGAGCGACGGGACGTTCCACGTCGGCAAGCTTGGCGGAGGGCATGAGCAGAGCTTCCAGTGTTTTCTGAGGGTCCCCTTCATCCACAGCTTCGTTTATCAGCCCGATTGCCACAATTCCTAAAAGCACAAGTGACGCATTGTTATTTTGTAAAAATCCAGGTCATCCAGAACTCTGCCGCCCGCATTCTCACTCGCACCAAACTCCGCTCCCCGATTACCCGTCCTTGCCAGACTGTCCTCGACTTCAAGATCCTCACTCTTGCCTTCAAATCCCTCCACTCCTCTGCACCCTCCGACCTCTCTGACCTCCTCTCTCCTCACAACAGTGCCCGTTGCCTTCACTCCACCGGGTCTGGCCTCCTCCTTGTCCCTCGAATCCTCCGCTCCACCATTGGCGGCCGTGCCTTCAGCCACTACGCCCCGAGGCTCTGGAACTCCCTTCCTCATCTAGGTCTGACCTCTCTCCCAAAACCTGAAGGAGACTCAGTGTCCTGCCTTCATTCTCAACTCAAAATAGTAAGTAATAATAATAATCCCTGTATTTGATGCAGTGCCTTGTTTTGTGGTTGTTGTTATCAAGTCGTTGAGACATCTCGAAGCTTCACAGAATAAATTCTAAAGTGGATTGACTGTGTATTTTATGGGCGAAACACTGTAGCCGACTGCGCACAGCAATGTCCCACAAACAGCCGTGGATTGAGTGACCAAATTATTTTTTTGGAGGCATTATTAAATGGGTGGTAGCTGGTGAGAAGCTGGAAAATGGGAAACTCCGGGTGATCTACAAAGACAGTTACAAAGCTACTGATGCCACAAAGGCCGTCCTTTAGAACTTGAAAGGCAGGAAATCAGAGAAAGGATAATTGTGTCTGAGGTTTTATCTCACTGTCAGGTAAGATTATCTGAAATTTTTAATGAGTTTGTTTTGCAATCACCTCTAGTCAGTGCTGGCTGGGAACTGCCCAGCCTCCGGCTGGTCCTTTGTTTTTGATCTCTACTTGATGAGCGCAAAGGCCCGGCAATGAACAACACATTTACATAACAATAACAACACACTTACTGTTATGCTCCTCCTGCACCACCATGTTGACCCCATCCACGGAGCCCTGGATGTCGTTCCACGTCAGAAACTCATTGCCGTCCTCTCGTGCCTGGGCTTTCAGTCTGAGCAGCTCGTCAACATACCTGGGGATGAGGGGAGGGGGACAATCTGACTCATTACAACAAACACACAAGAGATTGGAGAGAGCTGCACACAACAATAATTTGCACTTACATCGCTCTCTTCATGCTGTGTGGCTTTTCAGAGCGCTTAACAGTGGCGGAGCCTAACACTGAACCGGGGTGGGGGGGTGGGGAGGGAAGAGGTGACCGTAAGCGCGGTCGAAGAGAAAGGTCTTGAGGTGCGATCTGACAAAGGGGAAGGTAGGGGGCCAGGCGGAGGGATTGAGGGAGAGAGTTTGAAATTTGGGATGGAGCGGAGAGGATGAGTGACAAGCAGGAGGCCGGAGCCAGGCAAGTGAAGCCTGGGTTTTGGGAGTTTGGAGTAAGTGGGTTGGAGAGGTAGTGGGGGTGCCAGGATGTGAAAGGAATCCTAGATGAGTGTGAGGATCCTGAAACTGATATGTTCCGTGATTAGGGAGCCAGTAGAACCTGGCGATGACTGATGTGATGGGGGTACGGAGTTTCGAGCGGGTGAGGATACGGGCGGTGGAGTTCTGGATTAGTTGGGATAGTTGGGACAGACCAGCTCCTTACCGCTGCTCGTTGTTCTCGTCCACGTTGGTGAGGCCCGTCACGGAATTACTGATCTGCTTCCACACCCCAGCGGTGTTGCCTGCGTTCAGTGCCTGGTTGATCAGAGCCACAGAGGACAGCATCTCCACAGCCACAGAGAGCTCAGCGTGCGACAGGTTACCCTGAGAGAGAAGTGAGAATGTTTCGAAAACAGTCGCGTTCCAAGTTTCGGGGCAGGTCACAGTTTAGGTTATTTTCTGGACCTTGTTCCACGTTGCTGCCAACTGAGTGCTTTTTAAAAAATGGCCGCTTAAAAAACTCCCCCCCCCCCTCAACCCACCATTGGCTGCGGGAGTCGCTGTTGCGCCCTTTCTACTGGCTCCCACCCTTCTAACCTTGCTCGATGGCCAACCCCACCACTGTGACATTTTCCTACGTGAAGGGCGTTCTGTCTTTTTTGCCGCGGGGTAATCATACTGGGCTCAATAGCCCAGCTCCAGCCCAACCTAACCAACTGTATAAATGTACCAATAACAACAACTTGCATTTATATAGCGGCCTTCACGTGGTGTGGTGTCTGTACCTTGTCTTCGATGCTCCTGTGTACAAACCCAGTTTACCCCTTCACAGCCAGTGGTTTTGTGGACCCACCTCGTTGCTCTGCTGCTGCAGGGTGGACAATTCCCGCTGGTACAGCTCGGCCGCAAACGGGTACACGTCGGGCAGCTGTGCATCGCGGTCCATCAGTCCCGCCACCGTCTCCTCCGGCACACCCTTCCTTATCGCAGCGTTGACTCTCGCCACGGCATCCAGCACTACAACACAGAACCACCCCTTCCTTTGTCACACCGGAATCAACCCATTTTACCGATGTCAACGCAGCAGCCAATTTCCCCAAGAAAAGTCACTTCGAACAGCTGTGAAGTGAATAACTACGTTGTGTGGGGTGAGGGAGTGGGGGCTGGGGGCAGGGGTAAAGGGACGACTGTTTCAGGAGGCGAAAAAAAAATCACCCCCTTCCTCCACACACACACACACACACACACACACACACACAAGGTGCCAGTGTAAATTGAGAGCACGTTCCTGCCTCGATAAACAGAGAAAATAAATTACTTCACACTGAAACTGGGTAAAGAGAAAAAACGGCCAGAGTTGAATCCATTCAATTCAAGCCTTCCATGTTTACCTTAGACACACTGCGTGAAAATGAAATCCATATAATTTTAATTTGAAAAGTAATCATTATAATCGCCCAGCAATGCTGAGCCGAAAGGTGTGTGTGTGTGTGTGTGTGTGTGTGTGTGTTTGACCTGGCCTCAAGTCACTTTTTAGGCTTTGGCTTAACTTCAGGCTGAAACCCTCCTCCGTGTGCTAACTCACATGCCTTCCACCCACATTGCTCCCAGCTATATAATAATATATATATAATAATAATATAATACAATAATAATGTTGACGATGTCACTGGATAACAATGCCAATCTTACTTACACTGATTTCTGAATCCCTCAGTTTCTACAGGAATGTGGGGGCTGGGCCAGTGTTTGGGTTGTTGCACTGTTATTTTTGCACCGCTAGATGGCCCCACTATTCTTTGTACAAAACGGCACCAAATCACCTTTTTGTGGCAAAACATCATCACACAGTGTTCAACTTCCTTGTTTCTTTCTCTCACCCAAACCAAATTTTCCCCTTGGCCTTTTCTGAGGAGAACGATCAATGCTATTATAGTGTTGACATTTTTCAAAGTGCGTCACAGGGAACTGCTGTCATGTGTAGTTACTGTATTCATTTTTTTGGGGTCAGTCGGGTGTCTTGACACCTGCGGAAACCCATCACCGTTGCTTAAGAGTATCCAAACCAAACTGAGAATGCCACACATGAAAATTCCAGAGATAAATTTTTGGAATGGAGTGCGCACTCTCTCTGCTTATCTAATTCCAGTTAGTATTTGGGGCAGGTCGGCAAGAACCAAGGATTGGGGTCCCCAGAGTGTGCGTTGGGGTACTGCTGGAGTCTAATCAGCTAAAAACGCATAGTTTGCCATTGATAGCAATCTTTCTATCAAGAAGACCACTCTACCCGTTAGGGTTTTGGCTTACAGGGTTAACAGGAGCTGGGAGGATTCTGTATTCATAGGTAGCTCATTTGCGTATTGTAATGGCCATGAACAGAAGTGGATGACTAACTGCTCTGGAGGATATTTGGCCAGGACACGCCCTTCTCTTTGAATAATGTCATGGGATCTTTCACCTAAATAAACAGATGAGACCTCACTTTGGCTTCTCATTCAAAGCATGACGTTTCTGAGCTCAAACCCTGGCGTGATGTGGGGTAGGTATTCAGCGAAAGGGCTTGGAGGTAGGAAATAATAATGGGAGAAAACTGTGCAGAGGATCTCAACACCCCTAAATATTAGGACACTGATGATTGTCTGCATCTGTATGTTCAGCAAATGTCAAACGTGTTTCAATCCAATGAACCAAAGTTAGGGTCCATGTCAAACTAACTGCTCTGTGTCTAGAGATCATCCCAGTGTACTCACTCTTCAGATATCTAGTCGCATCCTCGTTGGCTCGGTCGACTCCATATTGTAACTCCTCCTTCCGGAGAGGCTCATTCGAGCCTTGCCCCTGTGCGGGTAAGTCAGAGAGGAAGAAATGGGGAGAGAAAGATGAATGGGAGAGGCAAGCAAGAAAGTAAAAGAGAGACACAGGGAAAGAAAGAGATGGATCTTAAGCCGTGTAATGTTTCAAGAGGTTCTCAGCAAGTGGCAGAATTCAAACAAAACAAATTGCAAAACTAATTCCTGAGAAATGTTAGCCATGTTGCAGGTTCAGAGCTTTATGGTTTACAGGAAATTGGAATCGATCCACTGGGAATTTGCGTTTGGAACTTCGCTTGGGCTGTTGTAACCTCCTGATTTAAGGCTCTGCTACACTTCCTGTTGCCACATTTCATCCACAGTGGAAACATGCGGATAAGACCTTTAACCTGCTCGTACTTCACTGGAACTCTGCCCTAGAGCACACTACAGCTATTTCAGCACCTCCTTTGTACTCCTGGTCAGGATACAAGACAACCCTTCTCTCACCTATGTTCTTCAATGCAAGCTTTCTTGCTTTTTTGTAGACTATCAATACTATTCCGAACTTTCCTCTTGTTACTCTCAAGCTCCGAATCCTTCCATCCTACATACACACTGTTCCTTCTCCCCACATCCTCACTGTGTTGAAACCAACACTCATACTACCTTCATTCCTAATTCATTTATTTCCCAGGACCTTAACACTGTGAAACTCACTCTTCACCTCCCTCAATCTTTACTTTCTCCGCACTCGACAGACTTGGTGTCTCCTAACCTCTTCCACTGCGTTACCCCATCCTCACTCTCTCTTTGCTGGGGTCCTGCACTGTTGGTCTTTTCCTCAACCCTTGATCTAAAAAAAAAGACCCACATTAATATCTCAAAGTGCTTCAGAGGTAACTGCCATAATAACTGAGTATGTATTTGTAGGCCAACGTGGCAGCCAATTGGCAAAACTCCCACAAACAGCCTATGAAATGAGTGACTAATTTTATCAGGAGGATTGTTGACCAGGGCACTGGGAGAAACTTGTTTCTCATTGCGAATAGTGTCACAGGACTTTCAATGTCCACCCCCAAATGCGAGTAGGAGTGGACACCAGATTACAACAGGTCTAATTGGTTCTGAGCAGAGCCCGTTCTGTCCCCCCCGCTTGTACCTGAACTTTCATCTGCTTGTCTGCCATCAGCTGTTTGAAGTACCAATCCTTGTTGGCTTCCTGTAATCCCCGCAGGCTCAGCCCCGGTGACTTCAAAGCTTGATACAATCCATCGGCATCCCCCTGCTCCAGCGCTGAATCCACGCCCAGCATGCCGATTTGCACTGGAACCACAACACGCACAGCTCAGTTGTATGATCTGTTACACACGCCTGTCAATGTCTGATTGGCTGCAAACTGTATGATCTGCTGAACATACATGTTGGGAACATTCACTTTACTTAGTGTCTCTCAAGGTTAGTGATGTTAGTGCTGGGTTGGTGCTCACTCTGACCCACACGAATGGAATACTTTCCTAGTTTCAGGTCAGGCACATCGCTTGATGATGCTTGCCCAAACTGACCATTTTCTTGTGAGAGTCCACGCAGTGAGCATTGGCAGGACATTCAACCCTAAGGGGGCAGGGGGCACGACAACTGAGCTCTAACTCTGTCCTCAGCTCCAAATCTTCCGGTGGGGGGGGGCGAGGCATGAGATAGCGCTCAGGAACAGAATGCCTGTCTGATATATCACCCCCCCATCCCCAGCACTGAGGTCAGTTGTGGCAGCACGGCTGATAAAGTGACTGACCGCACAATTGAGCTCACCACTCACCTCTTCTCCGAACAGGCTGAGTGGAGGCTGCCGCTTACAATGGCAATAGTAACCGTTCCATTTGATAGTGCCCGCCTTATCACATCGCTTCAAAGTGCTTTGCAGGATTTATTGCAAACTGTGTATTGTGTAGGCGAACCTTCGACTCACTTCAGGTGGAAAGAGCCCCCGGTTGTCACAATGTGATGAGATGCTGCTAAACGGTGAATCTCCGAGAGCCTCAGTACCGTGTTGCCTCCAGCCTGCCCCAAGGGAAGCTTCAGCCCCAGCCTGGGTACAACGGCTGCCTTTGGCGGTGCAGGGAATTTTACCATGCGCGGGCGGTAAGCAAAGCGGCCACTCGTCCTACTCACGGTTGACTTTGTTGACGTTGCCCTGGATTTCGGCCTGAGTCAGCAGCTCCTCGTAGACGTCTCTCTCGGACGTGGAGTTCTCTGTTGTGATCTGTCACAGGGCAAAGAGCGCAGAAACCTTAGCCCAAGGACAAGCTGGTTTGTGTTGGGGGGGGGGGGGTGTTCCTCCAGTATGTCTGGTATTACTCGCAATGTCCAATCGCACACACGTACACAGTGTGAGTGGCCCAGAAAGTGATTGTGGGCAGGGTATTGTACCTCAGGGGGCATCACAGCCAGGCCTTAGTCCCATCCTCACCCAGCTTCCACACATTCAGACATACAGACCCTCAAACACACGCACACACACTCTCTCTCACTCACTCACACACACACAAGATAGAAACCCATCCGTTTCGCCCTCCCCCCAGCCCCCCACACCCGGCCCAAAGCAGACATGCCAGAGCGCGTGACCAATCGCTGCCCACCTTGTTCCTGGCGTTTGCTGTCTTCTCCTGCTTGGCTGCGCTGAGGGTGCTTTGGTACGCGGAAGCCTGGCTGGGCTCGAGGTTATGCAGCATCGCATTGGGGTTCCTCATCGCTGCCATAGTCTCCTCCGCCACCCCCTTGTCAACCGCCTCGTTGATGGCGATAACAGCAGCGTGCACTGTAAATAACAACAACTTGTATTTGTATAGTGCCCACTCACGCAAGGTACTGTCCCAGAGCGCATGAAACGGTCAGAGGCACCCACTCAAAAGTTTATTTATCATCTCACAGAGAAAGGGAATCCTGGCTTGCTGAGAACATTGATCTTAGTAAGACAAAGGATCCAGGTATGGTGGAGCGTTAGCTGGATCTCCGACTGTGTATATCGGAGAATTCTAATGGGCAAATTAATTCTCTCGCCCTCAAGCTCCATGTTAAGAACGCCCCCGAATCCTAAACTAACACAGAGGAAGTCAGGGATTAAGGCTGCCCGGGGTTTTGGACTGGATGCTGACATTCGCAAACCAGAAGTGGTTGGTGACTTGTCGCTGATCAGATGCCGAGGGTTTGGTGGGAACCCCCATACCGGGAGCCCCTGCCTCGTGTGAGACTCCACCCCTCCCCACCCACCCGACCCTGGCGTCTCACGTACAGGCCGCTTCGTCCACCGACAGCTCATTGGCGAGGATTCCGCCGATCTTGCTGAACGCCGGCATCTGGATTCCGTACTTCTCCAGTTCGCTCTTCATGTTGTTGATTTCTTCCTCTGCGAGAAGCAAAATAAGCACGAAGCGAGTTACGCGAGGGGAGACGAAGGAGAGACCACATAAACAAGGGTGAGTGGGAAGAAACTCCATTCTTATAATGCATCCAAACACCAAAAACGCACTTCTTACTGTCACGAGTTACTGTCAAGTGAAGTGACCGTTTTGTAGGGGCTTTCCACCAGCGAGGTCCCACCTAGACAAAGACGGACCTCGGTTTACCATCTCAATAGATGGCACCTCTGAAAATGCACCGGGTATAGTACTGGAGAGTTAGCCTAGACTGGCGATCTCATCCGCCACCTCCCCTCCATTTCATTTGGCCCACCCGCTCTCTGCATAACCCATAAATGTTATGTTATGTTTCTGGAAGGGAAACACAAAAATAAATATTGCTTTTGGGGCCTGAGGAGATTTCTCAAATATTGCTTCTCCGGCCCTCGGAAGCCAAAAGGTTAGGCCACCCTGGCTTGGACTAAGAGATCATGGCTTGGACTAAGAGATCATGCCTTGAAGTGGGTTTGAACCTACAGCCACCTGATTCAACCTGTGGAGTGTTATCAAATGAACTAATGAGTCTCTTTCTCCCCAAATCCAGATGTTTCACCAAGGCAGGTCTGTGTCCCTAAATTTGGTGCTACCCTCTCAGAGTGCTGGAGCGTTTGCACCCTTTTTTTTAAAACGAGAATTTCATTGCAAACTACAACACATGCACTGTGCTAACACACAGACACTTGGTCAATTTTTGACAGGATGTTATCACAGAATTCATAAATCAGCCGACGAACGAAAGCGACATCACATTTGCCAGCACAGCAGCTATTGTTCTCTCTGTTGTGCTTGGCTCTGCTCACGTCAAACCACTCAAAAGTGTTTCTGTGCACTCCTACACTGATACAACCAGTTGGCACTGGGACAAGAGGTGAAATGGTTCCACCGGCACTTCCTCTAATAAGCTTTATCTGTACTGTGCACCTGGATGGGGAGCTCAGAACTGTAGCACATGTCAATGGAGCAGGCGCTGGGTTAATGGACAGAAAACAAAATGAACGATAAGAGTTCTGGATAATTGCCTTTGGCAGAGCTCAGCAACTCTGAATGGTGACGAACGCCTGATTTACTTCAATAAAAGGTAATTTTATGTTCTCTGCTCTTCCTCTTTTGAGCCACAACAACAACAAAAAACTTGGATTTATACAGCGCCCTTCACACCAGACGGCGTCTCAAGAGTGCTTCACTGCAACGGATTCCGGGGCTGAGCCAGCGGGAGGGGGAGGAAGGTGACCAAAGGTCTTTAGCCGAGATCTGAAAATAGGAGAGGGGTCGAGGCGAAGGGAGTGAGGAAGGAGTTCCAGAGCCTCGGGGCATAGGGGCTGAAAGCACGGCCGCCGATGGTGAAGCAGGGGACAAGGAGGAGGCCAGATCTGGTGGAGCGAAGGCAATGGGCACAGATGTGAGGAGAGCGGTCAGAGAGGTAGGGTGGTGCAGAGGAGTGGATGGATTTGAAGACAAGAATGAGGATCCTGAAGTCGATCCTCTCTGGGACAGGCAGCCAGTGCAGTCTGGCAAGGACTGGGGTAATTGGGGAGCGGAGTTTGGTGCGGGTAAGAATGCGGGCAGCCGAGTTCTGACAGAAAGCTCAATGCAAATCTTGATTGAGGTTCTCTGCTGTTCCATATCTGGCCAATAGGGGTCATGGGGGTGTAGCTAGTGCTACAACCCCAATGTTAGCCCTGAATGACAGTCTTAAACTGACTCATCTCTTAGCAAAGCTAAGGCCAGGCCTGGGGGAAGCTATGGTGTATTCTACTCACTGCATTGGCTCACACATGAAGAGCAGCCAGCCTCTGTGGTGAGGTATCTGAAAGGGTTCATGAATTGCAAGGCAACATGAGTCAGCGCCTTCGGGCACAACTGTAGAAAAATGCTTATTCATCACAACTTGAGAGACCGCAGAGCTCAGAGAGTTATCAGGGTGCGGAATGCCCGACCAAAAACAGTGGTTGAAACCAAAGCCATAGCGATTTTAGAAGAAAATGATTTGATAAAGGAAATTATAAAATGGTATTGGGGAAAAAGGCAGTAGGGTGGGCTAAATGGATAATTCAGACATGAGGCGTCGAAAACAAACTTGAATTTATACAGCGGACCTCACTCAGGATAGCGTCTCGGAGCTTTATGTGCCGTAAAATTCTGGTCTATCAATGAAAACTGCATCTCGCGCCCAGAAAACCTGCTGCCAGGTTTTCAAATTGCATTCCACACACCATTTCTGAAGGGAACCTTTAGGTCTCAACTCCCGAGATCAGCCTCACCTGTGAAGTCGACTTTGCCATAAAGATCCTGGATCTGGGGAGCTAGTCCCAATTTGAAGAGGTACAAGCTGGAAAAGGAGCGGAAAAAAAGTCAGGAAAATAAAAAGAATATTTCATGAATAATCGCAGAGGCGTGGTTACACCAGGACTGTTCCTGGTGTTTGTCCTAAAGTTGCCTGTTTCCGTTGGTACTGTGATGTACCAAACTGTTCTATTGCCTTGGCACATCTGACATATCTGCCTCCACTGTTTGTTGGCTTCAAGGCTCCCTTGTGAAACATGTCTGGGATGATCTCAGCTACTGATCAGTGAGGTTTACGGCACTGCCGTTAATTCAGCACTAAACTGGCAATCTCAATCACAAATAGACACACTACTCTGTGTGTGTATCTTTGTGTGTGGTGGGAGCTATCCTGAGTTTGAGGCACATTGTTGAAGCAGTGTAGAATCATAGAATCATAGAATCGTACAGTACAAAAAGAGGCCATTCGGCCCATCGAGTTTGTCCCGGCTCTCTGAATAGAGCAATTAATGTCAATTTCACTCCCCAGCCCTTTCCCCATAACCCTGCAAACCCGTCCTTCTCAAATTCTCGTCCAATGCGTTTTTATAAGTTGTTATCGAATCGGCCTCCACCACCCTTTCAGGCAATGCGTTCCAGATTCGAACAACTCGCTGCGTGAAAAAATTTCTTCTCACCTCCCCTCTGTTTCTTTTAGAGACTATTTTGAATCTGTGACCTCGAGTCACCGACACACCCACCAGTGGAAACAGTTTTTCCCTTCTAACCTATCAAATCCCCTCATGATTTTGAAGACCTCTATTAGGTCTCCTCATAACCTTCTCTGCTCCAATGAGAATAATCCCGGCCTCTCCAGCCTTTCCTCATCATCAAGGTCCCTCATTCCTGGTACCATCCTCGTAAATCTCCTCTGCACCCTTTCCAATGCGTTAACATCCTTCCTATAGTGTGGTGTCCAGAACTGGGCGCAGTATTCTAACTGAGACCTAACCAGTGTTTTATATAGGTTAATCATAACCTCCTGACTCTTGTACCCTGTGCCCCTATTTATAAAGCCTAGTATCCCATATGCCCTTTTTACAGCTTTATCTACCTGTCCTGCCACCTTCAAGGATTCATTTACCTTCACCCCCAGGTCTCTCTGTCCTTTTACCCCCTTTAAGATTGTATTACCAGCCTATATTACCTCCCCTCAGTCTTTCTACCAAAATGCATTACTTCGCATTTCTCCACATTGAAACTCATGTGCCACGTGTCTGCCCATTTTACCATTCTGTCTATGTCTTCCTGCAGTTGCTACTATCCTTCTCACTGTTTACCACCCTACCTAACTTTGTGTCATCCGCAAACTTGGAAATGGTGCTTGCTATACCCAAGTCCAGATCATTTATGTATATTAAGAAGAGCAGTGGTCCTAATACCGATCCCTGGAGGACGCCACTGTACACTTCCCTCCAGTCAGAAAAGCAGCCGTTCACCACAACTCTCTGCTTTCTGTCTCCCAGCCAGTTCTGGATCCATATTGCCACTGTCCCTTTTATACCATGGGCTTCTATCTTTCTTACATGCGGTACTTTGTCAAATGCCTTTTGAAAGTCCATATAAACGACATCAACTGCACTACCTTTATCCACACTCTCCGTTACCTCATTGAAAAATTCAAGTGTAGAGGGAGCTTTACTCTGTAACTAACCCGCGCTATACCTGACCTGCGAGTGCTGGATAATACTAATAATAATTCTTGCACGTCTTTGAGATGCCTCAAAGCTCTTCACAGGATATACTATAAAGTGAACCGACTGTATGTTTTGTGGGTGAAAAATGGCTGCTGCCAATTGTGCACAGCAGCATCCCACAAACAGTCGCGGATTGAAGTGACCAACTTATTATTATAATGACACTGGGTGCTGCAAAATTGGAAAACGTTCCCTTTTCCAGAGCCGCTGAGGATTGAATCTTTCTCCTCCCTCCCCCATCAGTAATTCCAGGCTGGCACTAGCATGGTACTTGGAGCGCTGCCCGGCCGATGTCCCCTGACGTAAACCATTAGCAAGAACCCGAGCAGCCATTAAACAATCGGGTAGCTATTTCCGGGCCTAACCCTGCTGTTAGAGCTCCAGCTCGGAATAGAACTCTGAGGAAATGATTGCCTCAAAACAGGAAACGACTAAATGAGTACAGAAGGCTTCTTTACACTTGATATTTTCTCCTTCAGGCAGGCGAAGGCAGAGAACCAGCTACACCCAGACACAATATTTCAAGCTATTTGAAAGCTAAAAGAGAATTACTTCATGAGGCATTACTTAGGGGCATTACTTCATGTAGAGGATGGTGAGATTGTGCAACTCACTACCTGAAGTGCATAAATAATAATAAATAATAATAATCCTTGCATTTGATATAGTGCTTTTCACGTCTTCTTGAATTCTCAAAGCGCTTCACAGAAGTGAAGTGAAGTGAATGACCGTATATTTGTGGATGGGGTTGAACCAGTTAGTATAGATACAAAAACAACTTGCACTTATACAGCACCCTCCCTCCATGCAGCGTAGCATCCCAGAGCCCTTAACAGCGGCCTGACTCCGAGCCTGGTGGTAGGTGGCTATAAGCACGGTTGAAGCGGAAGGTTTTCATTCGGGAGTTGATGAAGGGGAGAGAGGGGGGAAGGTGGAGGGATTGAAGGAGAGTGTTCCAGAGTTTCGGGGCGTAGTGGCTGAAAGCGCTGGATTCTAATCCACTGAACTATTCATTGATTGTTTGACATAATGTCAGTGATTCACGAGAGGTGCTCTGATTCTGAAAGCTCTGAGAGGTTAGATGGTGAATGATTGTCTCCGATGGTTGTTGAAATGATGACAATGGGAGAGAAACTGAGGATTGGCATTGAACAATGCCTCTCAGGTCCATCGCCTGGATGGGTAAAACTCTGGTGCTGTACTATTGTCTGTGTCTATCTTAATGTCGCATCCGAAAGACAACACCTCCAACAATGCAGCACACCCACAGCAAAGCACTGGGACTGTCAGTCTGGACTAGTGAGTTCAGAGTCCCGAAGTAGGGTTTGAGCTCACAAGAAATTCAGGCTGAATTTAAGATTTTTCCAAAATTCTGCACAATCTTAAACAGCTTTTGGAGACAAGTGTCTGGTGTTGTGTCGTGTCTAGGTTTGAAATCTGTTTCTCATCCGATTTACCAGCAAACGTTGGCAGCAGAAACTGTCATCTTTTTCAATTTCCTGTCTCTCGTTTCCTCGTACTGTGATGTACCAAACTGTCCTCACACTTTTCACAAGCTATTTCATCAGCTCTCAAATAATCTACTCATGTTACCAGCTGTCTCACAACACTCCCATCCCAGTGCCTTTCACCCCCACACCGTGCCCCCACCCGCCCGAACCCAGAAATAATCTATGAAGTATTCCCTGTCAAATATCATCCAGCAACATTACCTGAGTGCGTGAATACAATAAATACTTCGGGGCATGTTCTTACGATCGTAGACATCTGTAGTCTCAGGATAGAAAATCTGGAAGGACAAATGAAACACTTATAAGTTAAAACCCACAAGGTAGTGCATTTCAGTCCCTATTGACTGCCACATTTGCTTACAAAATATCCTCATGGCACTCAACAATAATTACTGTTGAAGCTCTCTGAGGCGTTAGCCTGTAGTTGACGTTATATCAAGTGGAAGGATTATTATTGATATAAACTGTCCTGAAAACAGGCTGAGTTATGGTCATGAGGTTAACAGGCTTTGTAACCCAGCAGTGATCTGGATTGAAGTGTTAAGGCTGTGTGAATGAGATGGGAATTGTTTTTCCTCTACAACCGCTCCCATTCCCTCACTCACACATTCCCCCGTCCACCACATAACACATATCAACCCTGGGGCAAGTAGTGAAGAAATAAAACTGATTCTAAATTAACTTGAACTCGGTCCCAGAGTTAAGAGTTGGAAGCATTTCATATCAGAAGCTGCTCAGAAGCAGCTGAGACGTGGCATTGAGAGGAATGGCCAGACAGAGCTCAGAAAAGGTTTCTTAAAACGTCTTTGTTTTACAGAGAAACAGATGAGGGGGAAGGAGTGAGAAGGACTACTGGAAGAGCACGACATCTCACACCAACCCAACCCACACCACTGTCAAACCCTAACTGTGGCGAGTGGATCACGTTGCCTTGCAGATATACTCTTACTTTACAGTGCCTGTCCCCTTCTCCCCTCCACTAATGTGTCTTTCTCTCCGAGGTAGGCTTGGATCTGAAGCAACATCAGTCACCCACTGCACCAAGGCAGCCAGAGACACTCTGACCCCACCCGCAGCCCCTGGCCTGTACCTTGGGGAGGCCGATGTGCCCCATGGCGTTGAACCACTGGATGGTGTTGTCCGTGTGCCGAAAGTGAAGCCCGGTGGCCTGTGTGGTGAGGAAATGAGACACGGTAAATAACCAACAGCAGGTTACACTGGGCGAAAGCACGGCGCATTCGGCCACCCCATATTTCACTCCCGTTAGCCCGCTCCTTTCACAGACGATGCAGGCCCCACCATATAGTGGGACCCGTCCCGCCCACTGTCTTCTGGCAGACACTTTTGTCGAGATCCTCCCCGATTACCATAAATAACCAAGCAAGAACCTCAAGAATACACCCGTCTCTCTCGCCCCGCTAAGCCAACCTTTGCCTCGTTCTCACCTCCCCAAGTACGGACAGCGGAGGAACATTGTGTCCCGTGGATTATTCGTCAACTCAGCCTGCACCCCTGCTCGCGCTGGCGTCTCGTTCATTACGTATTTAGTTCCCGCTCACCAGGAGAGAGGTGAGGAAGTTTCACTTCCAATCTCATTCCGTCCTTGTATCAATCTGCACTATGACCCTTTCCCCTTCACCTGGGGTGCTCACTGAAAGCAGGGCTCTGAGCCGAGGATCCTACCTTGTATCGGGTTTGTTCACCATCATAGATCTTCTTTGTGGAGACCACCTTGGGAGCGAAGAAGTTGCCCAGTTTGGCGAGGTACACGCCGTTCCTCAGCCCTTCCTCCAGCTCCGTAGTTGGAGGAAGTTCCTCGTCCAGACACGCTTCCATCCATCTGTAACACCAGAGATACACACAGTCAGTGAGAGGGACACACGGTGAGAGGGACACACGGTGAGCGGGACACATGGTGAGAGGGACACACGGTGAGCGGGACACATGGTGAGAGGGACATATAGTGAGAGGGACACGTGGTGAAAGGAATACACGAGAGACGTAATGAGGTGCCCACACAAAGGCAATGACTATACACCATAGAGTCGTGTGAGATCAGCATCATAGAGGTCCATCACAATGAAACCAGAACACATCACCTTCATTACAATCCAAAGGTTTGAGAATAGACTAGAGTTGGAGTGTTGCAATTGGCTTCATTGAGAAAGAGAGAGAGAGAGAGAGAGAGGAAGAAAAAAAGACTGAATTCTTACAGCATGTTATCAGGCGGAGAAAGCAGAGTAATAAAATCATGCTTTTTTAGGGTTAATATAGAGCTAAAGGGTTAAAATATAAACAAATTCTCACTATTGACTCTGGCCAAACTGCTCCCACGGGATGACGTAGCCTCCTCAGGCTTACATACCATGCTTCACTCCATGCAAAACAGCTTCCTATATAGTTCTGTATCAGTGATGTTCAATCACTGTAACAGTGTGTTTAGGTTGCTTATGTACAACAATAATATCACAGAGTTTCAGCAACCAGTCTCGACTGACACCTTTTGTAACCATTTGCCACGACAATGGTTCATTTACTGTGTTCCCGAATAAACACAACAAAGAGGTGCCGTTGTTTGGGTGATACATTAAACTCAGGTCCTGTCTGCCTTTTCTAGGTTTTGCTAGGTAACCAGCAGTGTGTGGGGTAAGTAAACTTGCCTACGGTTTAGCCCTGCCCGGGAATCGAACCTGGGTGAGGCGAGGGCTCTAACCAATGTGCTACAGGACTCCACGGGAGACCACAAAGCTGGTCTCTACACTTGCGACCGACTTGTAAAGCAGTCTTGACATGTGATAAGGTGCTATAAAATCCACGTTCTCTCCGTATCTTTTATGCATAAGGTTAGACAATGAACGTTGGCAGCTTATTCCGCCTTCGGGGACACCTGCACGGAGGTACCAGACAATGCATCGCGGCTGTGGAACTGCAACCCCAACAATGAACAAACACCCTCAAGGGAACAGGGGAGAAAATTCGAAAAATGTGTAGATTGACAAGAGGTCAAGGTGGGGGTTAAAGAACCAATTTCCAGCTGTGTCTTTTTAAAATCACATCTGTGCCTGTGGTCAGAGAGAAACTCCAGTCCTGGGCGATCACACTGCAAGCAGAATCAAAAACCAGGGCAATGCAAATCTCTCGCTATCCTGTCCACAACCTGCTGCGGAACAGAATTAAGAGATAAAACGGTCGCTCTCTGGGATATGTCAGAGCCTCCGTTGCTCGAACTGAGTTGGAGTCGATTTCCGAAAAGTTTCTTCCACTCAAAGGAAGCGCTCGTTTCCTGAGGAGACTCCAGCTCGTGTCTCGTGTGGCAAGACGCAGATTAAAGTGAGAAAAGGGGCATGTGGGTCAGTCATAGGAAGTGACCTCCCTCCCCTGAGAGCTTTTGTACAAGCAGAGAGCTGACCTTCTGTCAGACCATGGAAACCCTGCACATCCCTCAGGAAGAATCTAACAAAGAGTGACTCCACAACAGAGACTTCTTCACACTCAATAACCTCAGCCCATTCCACCAGCAACAGTCTAGACTTGAACTCACAGTCTGGGCTGACACTCCCAACGCAATACTGAGCCAAAGGCTGCATTGCATTGCCTGTTCAGGTGGACGTCAAAAATACCATGACACTATTGGAAAAAAGTTTTCTTCTCCCAGTGTCCTGGCAAACAATCCTTTAGCATGAGCCATCATTTGCCTCATGGCTGGTGTTTGGGACAGTGTTGTGTTCCACTCCAGCAATCTATCTCTGGGATTTCCACGTGTAGGTGGCATGCACGGAATTCTCAGTTTGGTTTGGATACTCTTAAGCATGCTGATGGGTTTTGGCATATGTCAGACACCTGGCTAACAAAAAAAAACTATAGGTGATTTCCCCCAGGACTCAGTTTCACGATCGGCGTTGCATTGGGCTGATCGACAGCCATCTGTTCCTGTTTTTCTATTTACCTTTGAGCCGTCGAAAGAGCATGAAATAAATTGTAGCTTAAGTGAAAGCGCAGCAGATTGCTACAACACGGCTTTAAGAGGAGTGCAATGTGGCTCGGCAGAGGTAGATCCGTTGGTGTGCAGTCCTCCCCAGGGAGTGGAGTGGGGGGAGAGATAGGGGCTGAATTCATAGCGCCAGAAAAACAAACAAACCATGCATTCAGGATTATTTGGCAAATGCGTTTGCGGTAGGCCTCTTCAGTAAACCATATGAGCCTCTGACGTTTTATATGTCAGTCTGAAGATTTGGAACCAAGTCCTATTTTCTCAGAAGTAAGTAGATTACACTGAGGAAATGGAACTTTGTTATGGGAGCCCTTGAAATCACCTCTTTCGTTGCTTCTTTCGCTGTGTATTTGTGGATTTTATGTGGCTACGTTGAATTGTAAACTGCATACCACTGATTTCCTGTCACATGTACTATGAAGTGTAAATTACGTTCAACACGTAGAAACATCTTAATCTGGTCAACGATCTTACAAGGCAAGGCTCCAATCCTGGCCTACCCCAGAAAGACTGGTTTAACAGCTTATACTGTGTTACACACACACTCTTCTTAAAGATTCCAATTTTCTCATTTGCATCTTCATAGGATGTGAAGGACAGAGTTGGAATATGATACCAGGAAGTATTTATTTACACAGAGGGCAATCAACAGACAGAACAAGTTCCCAGAGAGTATTAGAAGCTGAGACGCTGACTCAGTTAAGATGTGCAATAGGAGGAGCTAGTATTCTGGAAGGTTGACATCAAATGGGCGGAATGATCTTCAGTGACCTTCTCCAGTGAACGTAAAATAAATAAATAAGCCTTGCATTTGATATGGATTATCCCAAACCTCCAGCCCGGGTCCAAATCCCTGTTCAGCGCCTTGGGATATGCTCCTGACGTGAAAGGCACTATACAAATGTAATTTGTTGTTATTATTATCATCACCTTATCGATATGTCTCAAAGTGCTTCACAAGATTTTATTGCGAAGTGAAGTGAGTTTGTATTTGTAGCCAAAAGCGGGAGCCCAATTTGTGCACAGCAATGTCCCACAGAGAGCTGTGAAGTGAATGGCCAATTTTGTTTGGGGGATTGTTGGCTGTGGAATCTCTAACATCCACCTGAACAGCCAGTTGTGACCACAGTTTAACATCTCATCTGAGGGATGACGCCTCCAACAATGAAGCACATTACCAGAATTGCAATCGAGTCTCCGCCTGGACTATGTGTTCAAAGTGGATCCTTACGTCATGTTTTTCCTTCGTGTGAGAGGTGATGGAAAACCAAGATTCTTTTCCGAGTAAATTGCTCAGCATTAACCGCTTCCTCTTAAAGATTGCCGAGCGAAAGGTGGCAGGTTCCCCCTCACCCCTCCCCCCCAACAACCCTTCTCTTTTTCTGCAGTGCTTGCACCACTTCCCGTGCTGTGTTACCACAAAGAGCGCTGAGAGAATTGGGGTGTGCCTCTCTCTGTCCACACCTCCTGTGCGGAGTGCAGGCTGGGAGCTGGGCCGTCTCACCAGTACACAGATTGTGATGATGTCTGGTATTACCAGGAGCTTCGTTTAAGCAGCAGGCAATGGAGACCCTGTACGCCAGCCCGACCCCTTCACAACTTGTGTTGCGCCCCCCCCCCCCCCCCACTCCCCCACGCCCCACTCACACAACCTGAGGCTTCTCTGAGCCAATTGAAAGATTCATTTACAAAGTGTCCCCCTCAGTTACCGCTGCACACTTTACTAGTGTTAAAAGTCAGGGTCAATTTTGACGAGCCACAGGACAGGCATGTGTGTGCCTTGCATGAGGCCTGGGCTTCGGTGTTCAGTTACTGGAGAAAGGGCTAAAGGGTCTCTCATTGATTCCAGCCGCCTGTGTTCCTCGCCCCCCCCCACACACACTCACTCCTTCAATTACAGTGACAATTTAGATAGGCCGACGACTCTTTCCGCTGATCGGGCAACCTTATAAATCGGAGCCCTGACAATTGGAAATGAGACCGAAATGCATCTTTTCCCACAAAGTTTTTGCGAGAATGCAGAACGCACTGTCCCAGAAGGCTGTGTAGGCAGAATCACAAATTGTATGGGCCGGTTTGATAACAACTTTTAAGAGAGAAGTAGATAATTATTTGGGGAGGACGTTTGCAGGGCTATGGGGAGGGAGCGGGGGAATGGGATTGATTTGGGTAGGTCTTTTCAAAGAGATGGCACAGACACGATGGGTCGAATGGCCTCCTTCTGTGCTGTATAATTCTATGATTCTATGAAAAGAGAGATGGCTAGGTAGTTGGAAAATAAGAGCATTGAGGGCAAATTGGAGATCTGCCATGATGCAGGAAGCCGAACTCTGTACTGTGGGTGCAGAGTTCTGTCTCTGAGAGAGAGAGAGAGCTCTCAATTATCTCAATTACACTAACCTGCTCTACAGTCATTTATATTTTCGTTACCGCACTTGGAAATCCTCCTTGAAATGGCCAAAAGTTCAAAGGCTAAAGTAATTGAGACACAAATAAAAAAATACTAATAATCGTTTGGTCGCGTCGATCCATGACTGTTTTGTGGGACGCTGCCGTGTGCAATTGGCTGCTGCGTTTCGCCCGCAAAGTATACAGTCAATTCACTTTACAGCATATTCTGTGAAGCGCTTTGAGACGTCGAGAAGACGTGAAAAGCGCTAAATCAATTGCAAGGATTATTATTATTAATATTTTGTGTATCCTGTGAAGCGCTTTCAGACAACAACAAAATCAACCACAAAATTACATTTATAGAGCGCCTTTTATGTCGGGAGGACGTCCCAAAGCGCTGAACAGTCAGGTGTCGGGGCCCGAGCATGGGGGAGAGGTGGTTTAGGGGTGAGGGAAGGCAGAGAGATGGGAGAGAGACCAAAGGTACGGTCAAAGAGAAGGGTCTTGAGACCGGCCTTGAAGGAGGCAAGGGAGGAAGTGAGGTGAAGGGACCGTGGGATGGAGTTCCAGAGTGTGGGGGCAGAGAGGCTGAAAGCCCGGCCACCGATGGTAGGGCGGGTCGGGCGGGAGACATGGAGCAGCCGGAACCCACTGAACGGAGGGAGTGGGCAGGTTGGTAGGGAGTCAGAGAGGTAGGAGGGGGCGAGGCCATGGATGGCCTTAAAGGTGAGGACGAGGATCTTGAACTCGATCCTCTGGGGGATGGGGAGCCAGTGGAGTCGGGCGAGGGTGGGAGTGATGGGGTAACAGAGCCTGGTGCGTGAGAGTACACAAGCTGCAGAGTTTTGTATCTGTATTTTATATCTGTATTTTATATTGTATCTATCTCAAAAACATGAGACACTATATAAAGCACAAGTATTATTATTTATTATTTTGAGCTCTGTTGAAATGTAGAATGAACCTAGGACACAGAATCTCTGAATCTCCAGGACAACGTGATAAGGCACTATACCAAATGCAATAATTATTAATAATATATCAGTCACACCACATTACAGTGTATCCTGTGAAGTGCTTTGAGACATCTGGGTGACTTGATAAGACAGGTCACCCAGGTATCTCAAATAATCCTTGCATTTGATGTCCGAGACATCAAATGCAAGGATTATTATGAAACTATTATCACGTCTGCGCTGGTATTTTCTCCCCTTGAGCCAACAAACTTAATCTCATCTTCTGCTGTCTCCCCACATCCTATTGATATTCTACCTCTTTGAGCATCTAATTCCCTTTTAATAAAATTTATGGACTTCCAACGACCACAGTCCACACTAGTCACCGAGAGTGGTAAGAATCTGCTGAGTTTTACTACAAATACAACTTGTATTTATATAGCATCCTTCACTTGGAGTGCAATACATAATCACTGCACCTCACAGTAATTACTTGAGAAGTGCTTTGAGATTATTGGCACGATAATGATATTGAAGAAATTGAAGGTATATTATGACCTGTTCCTAAATAATCTCCAGACCAGTCAGGTTGTTAGACCCTGCAGAACCTTAGCTATCCATCTTCTCACTGTATTCCTCAATTCCTTCCCTCTTCAGAAACACTAATAATAATAATTCTTGTTATCCAGTTGCCTATTGTGAACCCATTTACTGTCTCACTGGTTGTAATACTAGGAGGTATACAGACTCCATTCACAGGATAGAATTTAGCAAGCGGAGAAAGTTGATGAGACTTAAGGGTGCATTCGTTGACTCAGTGCTCACTATCTTCAAACACTGAATCAGCAATAAACAGGGCAAACAAGATATTGACAATTGCAGATCCCAGTGAATGTGCTGGGATTTCTTTGGGGAGGGGGCGAAGGAGAGAAAGTCAAAGTCACCCATTTACAATGTTAACATTAATAATTACCGTGACAAAGGCTAGGAAGATTATTTCAGTTAAATGGAAAAATATGGAATTACTGTTGTATTATGTCAGGTTGTGCAAGATGAGAAGTTAAGATTCTCAACAGTTTATGTCTAACCTTGGGTCTCAATGTTTTGCAATTTTCTAAAAAAAAAATCCCACAGCAGTGTAACAAATTAGGGATTGAATTTATTGAGGCTGATGAATTGTTCACAGAAACCAAACATAAAACTTTCCCCCAAATGTTCTGGTTACAGGGAATATTTGTTTAAAAATACAATAAAGGTGCTTCAGTCAATAAATCTCCTGAATGTCACCCAGAGCAGAGGATCTTCAGAACAATGCTTCTCCACTTCACGCCTCTTCTTGGAGGGACGAGGCAGGGAGCCTCACCAATCCCTCGTGTGTGTTTGGCAGGGTGGAAAAACACGACGAACAAGCTCAGTTCTTTCTTTTTGAAATAAAGTGAGACCCATGAGCAAAGGCCTCTTTCTTTCTGTTCGATCTGATTGAGTACTAAGAAACCTTTCCTGTAAGAATGATTCATTTCTTCCAAATGACAGACCTCAGAGCTAGTCATTACATACGTTTCACCCACAAAATACAGTCAATTCACTTTGCAGTATATTCTGTGAAGTACTTTGAGACTTCTCGAAAACGTAATAAGGCGCTCTATCAAATGCAAGGATTAATATCTTAGGCATTACGCGCTGAACAGGTGAACGTGCAGAAAAGTCATCAGACTTTTGCTTGCTGTTTTGCTAATTGTTCAATCAGATTTTTCCAGCTAACTCTCTTCTGGGTGATGTGGGCCGGGGTCACAACCTGTTGCAGGGATCGCTCGTCTCCCCTCAGGTAGTGCTGGCAGAGCGCCTCTGCGTTGCACATCACGTACATTCCGCAGTCGTAGCTGCATCTGTTCCTGTTTTTCTATTTACCTTTGAGCGTCGAAAGAGCATGAAATAAATTGTAGCTTAAGTGAAAGCGCAGCAGATTGCTACAACACGGCTTTAAGAGGAGTGCAATGTGGCTCGGCAGAGGTAGATCCGTTGGTGTGCAGTCCTCCCCAGGGAGTGGAGTGGGGGAGAGATAGGGGCTGAATTCATAGCGCCAGAAAAACAAACAAACCATGCATTCAGGATTATTTGGCAAATGCGTTTGCGGTAGGCCTCTTCAGTAAACCATATGAGCCTCTGACGTTTTATATGTCAGTCTGAAGATTTGGAACCAAGTCCTATTTTCTCAGAAGTAAGTAGATTACACTGAGGAAATGGAACTTTGTTATGGGAGCCCTTGAAATCACCTCTTTCGTTGCTTCTTTCGCTGTGTATTTGTGGATTTTATGTGGCTACGTTGAATTGTAAACTGCATACCACTGATTTCCTGTCACATGTACTATGAAGTGTAAATTACGTTCAACACGTAGAAACATCTTAATCTGGTCAACGATCTTACAAGGCAAGGCTCCAATCCTGGCCTACCCCAGAAAGACTGGTTTAACAGCTTATACTGTGTTACACACACACTCTTCTTAAAGATTCCAATTTTCTCATTTGCATCTTCATAGGATGTGAAGGACAGAGTTGGAATATGATACCAGGAAGTATTTATTTACACAGAGGGCAATCAACAGACAGAACAAGTTCCCAGAGAGTATTAGAAGCTGAGACGCTGACTCAGTTAAGATGTGCAATAGGAGGAGCTAGTATTCTGGAAGGTTGACATCAAATGGGCGGAATGATCTTCAGTGACCTTCTCCAGTGAACGTAAAATAAATAAATAAGCCTTGCATTTGATATGGATTATCCCAAACCTCCAGCCCGGGTCCAAATCCCTGTTCAGCGCCTTGGGATATGCTCCTGACGTGAAAGGCACTATACAAATGTAATTTGTTGTTATTATTATCATCACCTTATCGATATGTCTCAAAGTGCTTCACAAGATTTTATTGCGAAGTGAAGTGAGTTTGTATTTGTAGCCAAAAGCGGGAGCCCAATTTGTGCACAGCAATGTCCCACAGAGAGCTGTGAAGTGAATGGCCAATTTTGTTTGGGGGATTGTTGGCTGTGGAATCTCTAACATCCACCTGAACAGCCAGTTGTGACCACAGTTTAACATCTCATCTGAGGGATGACGCCTCCAACAATGAAGCACATTACCAGAATTGCAATCGAGTCTCCGCCTGGACTATGTGTTCAAAGTGGATCCTTACGTCATGTTTTTCCTTCGTGTGAGAGGTGATGGAAAACCAAGATTCTTTTCCGAGTAAATTGCTCAGCATTAACCGCTTCCTCTTAAAGATTGCCGAGCGAAAGGTGGCAGGTTCCCCCTCACCCCTCCCCCCCAACAACCCTTCTCTTTTTCTGCAGTGCTTGCACCACTTCCCGTGCTGTGTTACCACAAAGAGCGCTGAGAGAATTGGGGTGTGCCTCTCTCTGTCCACACCTCCTGTGCGGAGTGCAGGCTGGGAGCTGGGCCGTCTCACCAGTACACAGATTGTGATGATGTCTGGTATTACCAGGAGCTTCGTTTAAGCAGCAGGCAATGGAGACCCTGTACCCAGCCCGACCCCTTCACAACTTGTGTTGCGCCCCCCCCCCCCCCACTCCCCCACGCCCCACTCACACAACCTGAGGCTTCTCTGAGCCAATTGAAAGATTCATTTACAAAGTGTCCCCCTCAGTTACCGCTGCACACTTTACTAGTGTTAAAAGTCAGGGTCAATTTTGACGAGCCACAGGACAGGCATGTGTGTGCCTTGCATGAGGCCTGGGCTTCGGTGTTCAGTTACTGGAGAAAGGGCTAAAGGGTCTCTCATTGATTCCAGCCGCCTGTGTTCCTCGCCCCCCCCCACACACACTCACTCCTTCAATTACAGTGACAATTTAGATAGGCCGACGACTCTTTCCGCTGATCGGGCAACCTTATAAATCGGAGCCCTGACAATTGGAAATGAGACCGAAATGCATCTTTTCCCACAAAGTTTTTGCGAGAATGCAGAACGCACTGTCCCAGAAGGCTGTGTAGGCAGAATCACAAATTGTATGGGCCGGTTTGATAACAACTTTTAAGAGAGAAGTAGATAATTATTTGGGGAGGACGTTTGCAGGGCTATGGGGAGGGAGCGGGGGAATGGGATTGATTTGGGTAGGTCTTTTCAAAGAGATGGCACAGACACGATGGGTCGAATGGCCTCCTTCTGTGCTGTATAATTCTATGATTCTATGAAAAGAGAGATGGCTAGGTAGTTGAAAATAAGAGCATTGAGGGCAAATTGGAGATCTGCCATGATGCGGAAGCCGAACTCTGTACTGTGGGTGCAGAGTTCTGTCTCTGAGAGAGAGAGAGAGAGCTCTCAATTATCTCAATTACACTAACCTGCTCTACAGTCATTTATATTTTCGTTACCGCACTTGGAAATCCTCCTTGAAATGGCCAAAAGTTCAAAGGCTAAAGTAATTGAGA